AAAAGGTTCTACGACAACATCTTGCTCGTACAATCACCAAACTGAGCCAAAAGCTTCAAGAAATATGGGATTGTTTTGCACCAAATTTTTGCGAAAACTTGGTTAACACTATGCCCCAAAGAATTTCAGCCGTAATAAAAAATAAAGGTGATGTTACCAATGATAATCTTTCAATTGTTGCTTTGTTAACTTCGCGCATTTATTCGCACATTGTTTATTTGTTCAGATGTTCTATTAGTTATAGGTCTAAGTGATTTCAAATATGTATTTTTTACGACTAGAGTGTATCTTAAATGTTTTTGAGAGAATAAATTGTTTTAGAAGTAAATAGTTTCGTCATGTTTAGTTTATAAAGGCATATTTTGGTACAAATCTTGAAGTGGGCCAACTGAAGTGGGAAGGGGCTCATAGATATCCCAGCTCTTGTACAGTTTGAATATTTGTTAGTATTACTTCTTGTGCGAATTATTGATTGGTGGGCTGTAGAGGGGTGACGTCACATGGACTCTAGCGGGGGATCACATGTACACGTAACATGCCTTAGAGATCCGCCGAGTGGTACCTCCACACTCGACAGTCTGTGACCGTCTACCACTCACGGACAATCGCAACATCCACAGCCATACGGTCTACCGCGCGTACTGAACAACGTCAACAACATTAAATCCTTCAGAAATGATGACTGTAAACGTAGTAAATGGTGGCGTCAGAGTGGCGCTATCACAGATGCCTGCCCGTGCCCAAAGCAGCCAGAAGCAGCAGCCAAGCTGAGCAATCAAGCAATTCGAGCGAAAAACGAGTAAACGCCGGCTGAGGACATCAATGCTCCACTGACTTCTAAGAACCAAATGGATATCGCTGCTACTTCTTCACGCAGACCACAGTGTCGTGCTATTAATTATAGATAGTATAGGATTTAATTATCATTTTCATGTAAAATGTACCTTGGAAACAGCTACCGAAAAGACAAGAATACAGGGTGTCCTAATATGCCGCGAACATAGAGGTACCACGTATTTTCAGACTCAAAATAAGTCGCTTAAACATGATTTATTTCTATGCAAAAGTACTTCGTTTGTCTGTTAGCAGGCGTCAAAATTCAGATGTTTTTGGAACCGATAGTTTGATTTGAATAATATTTGACTTTTGCAAGAAACCCCAAAGGGTGAGAAAGGTGAAAACTACCCCCATTCCTACATAATTTATAGCAGATTTCAGTCGCAACGACTCTAGATTTTTTCATTTAAAAAATCAATTTATTTAGTTCATTTTTTGTCTGCTATAAAAAGATGCCATATCGCATAGTTTTAGATTAGAGAAAAAGAATGTTCTTCGGAGCTGGTTTAAAAAAAATTCTTATTACATAAAGTGTTCAGGATTCAAAACGCTGCAAATACACTACTATAATGACATGTTAGAGAAAGTTGACTAATAATTTTTTGCGCCGAATTGTTACGTGCAGGAACGAAAATGGTGGTCATATTGAACCCCTTTTATAAAGATTCGCTCTATTGTCTGTATTAAATAAAATTGTAATAAGTAATACCATACTTGTTGATTTTCGCTAACTATAATAGAAATATGAAATGGATCAAGTCAGACAAACAGGCCCATTCAATTCGTTCATAGTCCCCACCAATGCTATCTGGCAACATGGGCCCGCCAAGCCAGCATCAGAAGACCGATTTTTAAAAACTAAAAATGTCTTTGCCCTCAACATCGTATACTTGTGGGAAAATTTAGTGACAGTTTAGAATATCTCATTTTCGAAATTTGTCAAGATTACAATTCTTCCTCGCCAGTGGCGTTGGTAGCAAAAAAGGTGATCAGGTCCATTGAATTGAGACAAATCTAGTAAATAACTGAAACATGTGGACTATACGTCGTAGTTGGATGTATAGTCCGAGCTAGATAAAAAAAGGTAAAAAAAAGTTTAGCAGATATCTGAAAGTTTTGAATGGAATGATAATAACAAATCCATACAAAAATACAGCCAGATATCTGATTTTTAAACAAAATTTTCCAAATAATCGGTAAACTGGATATTTTAGAGCATAAAAAGACCTTCAATTTTGTTTTTTAAGAATTAACATCGATTAACAATTAAGCTGACGAATGAATGAATGAATGAAAACACAAAATTAGAGGTACTCGCTTCGGTGGTACATATACTAACAATTAAGCTAAATACGGGGCTTTTTAGCAATATTGAATAAATGTTTATAACTATTGCAATAACAATTATACATGGCTAAAAATTTGTGGGAATGAGGGCATCCTTGGTTTTAACAAGTGAGCTAAGTTTAAGCCGGATCGGTCTAACAGTTTATGTAAAAAGCTAATTGTTTATTCCAGAGACGAATTATTTAAACAACTGTTTTTGTCCAAGATAATGTCGTAGAACATATTACAAAAGCGAAATAGATTCTTAAAGGTTTTAAGTTTAAGAATTAATGCAAAAATTAATTATTTTCTTCCAAATTATTGTTAAAAATGGGGTTATGAAATAGCCATTTTTATGGTTATAAACATTTTCAATCACCTCGTTATTTTTCAATATAGTTTATTTTAACACGTTGATCTTTATAGGTGGTTAAAAAATGAATATTTAAAAAATTGTCTACGACCAATAGGTGCCTAGATAAAACAACCTTGCTGTAATTGGAATTGAATGAGACTGAGAAAATCGACGACTTATTTGAAGAAATGAGTTTTACAAATATTGAAGAAGAAGAAGTAGAGAGTATAAATATAAGATTTAGAACGGAGGATCAAGATTGATTAAATAATAATATATTATAATAAAATAATATTATTATAACACAAGGAATGCGAATACAATTAATATAAATGAAGGATAAACAAGAATCAATATTTTTTACAATTTATTAGAGTGATTTTTGTTAAGAATATACCAATGAACTGAATTGTGAATTGCTTAAACAATTTTATTGTAAAATATAAATTATTTTATTAGAGTGAGAGTACGGGTAAACATTTATTGTTAATTTATTATTATTTCATAGTGATTCAATTTTGAAGAATACAACGTGTCAAGTTTTTTGAGATTTCCCGATTTTCCCGGAAAGTTACCCAAATTGAAAAAAGAAAGCTCTACGTTGTTTAGAAGCCTAGTTAATTAAAAATTTTACAGACTCAATTTCACCAGCTCACCCGGAAATACTTACGCAAGTACCTTCACTTTAGGTGGCTATTTCTTAAAGAGCTTTAAACTAATAGTAAAATTATAAATTGGACCATAAAATTAACACCCTTGATTAAAATGTGTGAATATTTCGTGTCTTAATGTTTATAAACAAAGGAAATATGAATTTAAAAAAAATATTGGTCGTAGAAGGTTTTTTAAAATACGTTTTTTAACCATCAACGTTTTACAATAAATTATGTCGAAAAATAAGTAGGTTATTGTAAATGTTTATGAACATACAAATGGCTATTTTTTAACATCATTTCTGAAAACAATTTTGAAATAAACAATCAATTTTTTGCAAAAGTTCTTGAAGCTGAAACTTTCAAGAATCCATTTCACTTTTGTAAAATGTTGTAGGACCCTATTTTTAGCAAGAACAGTTTTTTAAATAATTCGTCTCTGGGATAAACAATTAGCTTTTTATATAAACTATTAAATCGATCCGGCTGAAATTTAGCACCCATATTACCACCAATGATGACCTGAGTCTCACAAATCTTTACATTTACAATTGTTATTGCAATAGTGATAAGCATTTATTCAATATTGCTAAAAAGCCCCATATTTAGCATAATTATTTATCGATTTTAATTTTCAAAAAATATTTTAAATTGCAGTTCTTTTTATGTTCTAAAATCTCCAGTTTACCGATTACTTACGAAATTTAATTTGAAAATTATACAAGCAAAATACTGAATTTTGAGTTTTTCCCAATGTTATAAAAAAACAACGCATATCTGGCTGTAGGTATCTTTTTATGTATTTGTATTTGTCATTAGACAGATCGCCCCTTTCATTTAGAACTTTCGATATCTGCTACACTTTTTTACACGAAATACCTATTTTTTTCTCTGTAGCCTAGGCTAGTATAAGACTTTTACGAACGGGTATTGCGATTGTAAATCACTTGGTAATATAATACCGTACACAGTAATGGAATTTTATTTTTAGAACGCCTAAATTATTATTACAGTCATTTAATAACACTAATTTCTAAACACGTTTTCTGCGAACATTGTATTTATTTTAAGAAACGCTATGGTTATGAGGTAGCCCATTTATCGTGAAAAAATATATATTTTGCCAATTGTGAGCAGTTTTTGATAACCTAATCAATTAGACTGACAATGAAGCATGGGAATGACAAGTGACAACAGTCTTATTCCCAAGGTTTTGAGCACGGGAAGAAAAGCGCACTTTTGATGTACCCGAAAGGTTACTTGGTTCTATTTCCGAACGCGTGGAACAAGCAACTATGGAGGCTAAATTTGTTAGAACGTAGTAAAAAGTACACTCTGTGACAATTGACGAACGCAGCCCAGTACAAGAGGTATACGCTGCCTGTATCGAGCTTGTCAGGAGTATATTTTTTCACCTGAGTTGATCCATATCGTATTTTAGTACCTGCTAAGGAGGTAATTATAAAAATTTCACCGTGAAAGCTGATGCGACACACATACAATGTTATGCATATTCTTAAAAATATCGCGGTGCTGTCTGTAAAAATGCAATCAACTGGTGATTCCATTGCATGTATACGGGTATCAGACGCAGGCATCTGCGTACTTGGATAGTATGCAGGCTGCTTAATTTCTATTGACCGACATTTTCGCCTGCTGACATTACACCTGGGCCTACTGGTAACTTGCAGAAATTAAAGAAACTAACTCATTTATCAAATGCATGTCTTCGCTAAAGGCACAAAGAAGATATTTGAGACCTTTTAATACGTAATCAAAGGCATAAAGTGGTGCATGAAGATTAGTGTCACAATTATCGTTGAACTCACCTTTTTCACTTGGAAATTTTACCTCGGAAAGGATGAAGTGTGGGTTGGAGGTTTCTATGAAAACAAAAGTAAGTCTTATTTGGTTGGCTTGCTTGCTAATTGAATACGTGTTTCAGAATGAGGCAAGATTGCCACTAGAGAGCCCAAGACACTAGCAGAGACCAACAGAGTAATTTTTTCTTACGTGCCAAGTCACATGGGGATAGATGGTAATGAGGGAGCCGATAAGTATCGCAAAAAATAACGTCAAGTTATTCATTCACACAAAGTTGTCTCTTGCCGATGAATGATCCCCTCTCCTCCCTGAAAAAAAATCCCCGCGGGCGCACATGATCGTTACTATGACTAATCCCGTGTGGGGTATTATACTTTATATTGGAGTTGTTTTAGCTCTTCGCATGCAGGCTTCTAGAGTAGCTTATATGCGAATGCCACACGATCATTATTTATCACGGAATTTGATATTTATTGGCCGTGTAGCCAGAACGTCAGCAGTTATTGATATATAAGGTATGTCAACAGGCTTCGCTCTTCAGAGTTCTACTCCAGTCCCGCCTAACTTCGGCCTCTCATCCTAACCGTGTCGAATTTCGTACGTCCATTGTGGAACAATCTACTTGAGGGGGCTTCCAATAGTTCTACTAACCTTAGGCAGTTCAAAAATCAGCCTCAAAGCTTCTCATAGCAACCGCGATGCCTTGGTATTTGGATACCGTATATGCAATTGTTTCGGTAAATTAAAAAATGTATAAATTCACAGACACTGTCGGAATGATCAGTAAGTACTAATGGTATGGACCACAGGGATCACTGACCGTGTGACATTCCCCATATAATAAATTTATATATATATCATTTGTGATATATCACGTTTTGAGCCTTCGTACTGTCTACTTCTCTAGAACTGATATGATCCCTTTTTTCTTACCATTATGGCAAAAACGTGGAAAATCCAGATGACCCTCCACCCAATCCTACCTCTATAGGGTATCCTAAAAGTCGGGACTTTCCTTTTGAGAAAGTACTCACCGTTCATCGAAAAGAAAGACTGCCTTTGCCATATGAATGCAGCAGACTGCTAAATTCGCACACGTAGTTCGTCAACCGTGTTCAAATAAGTTTTATAAACTAAAAATCCCATTTCATCCCAAACAAAAAAAATCACGAAGGATCTTGAAAAACGATCTGCATGCACTCGTGAAGGCTCGGTAGCATTTCGCAGACACACATCGTAAATTAAAATAATATGAACAACTCCGATATGATCTCGGTAATCTTAAGACTCTGGTGTATATGTTACTACGAGTAGAAGAAAAAAACGCTCATTTTTTGAGGACATCCCGTATAAGCTGCAGCAGCGGTACCATGGCTACAAAGAGCTACAATTTCTTGGTCCTCCCTGGTAGGTTAGCAGTATCTATGAGCTATTAGATGGAATGCACTTTTTACTTTCTTTTTTTCAAGTTCAAGTATGTTTTCGATCAACTACGAAGCGAAAGCTTTTGCTGCCGATCAAAGGTGATACCAACTTTTTCGTTGGATTCACCTGGAGTGCTAATTTTTGTCGCATCTGCCAGAAAATTGCACTGCCTGCTTGGAATTCAACCGGGTGCACTGGGAAAGCCACATGGTGCCTGCTGAACGCTGGGGCTGATGGGGGGTGCACCTGTTTGGATAAACGCAGGGCGCAGACGTTCAGCAGCAGACTGCAGGGTGAAGCAAGCCTGATCGGCTTTTGTTTTTTGGATTAAGTAATTGCTGCTGGGGTATCGGCAACATTTGCTGCCTGCTCGTCCTTTTGTATGGGGGATGTCAGTTGCAATAGCAGGGATTAAGGGGGTTGTATAATGACGACATATGGTGCGAGAGAAAACGACGTACTGGAAATTGGAACTGATAAGCAGAGTAATGCGATCGCGTGTTCTGTACCGAGACAAGTAGATTAAACTCTGTAAAATAAAATGGAACTGTGGCTTTCACAGACAAAATTGGAATTTCAGAAATCAGAAAACTATTTGGAAATCATTCATTATGAGATCTTGACTTAAGCAGGTACAGCTAAAGTATTTAGGGAAAATACTGAAGTAAATTTTTGAATTTACACATTAGCTATTATTGCGTTAAAGTCAACCCTAAATTTCGGGGTCATGTGTAACAACCTCCGAAATTTGAAATAGAAAGTGAGAGGAAGTTCTGACTCAGGCGTCGTGTTAAGGAAGTTGTGCGTTTGGGGAGTATTGGCGATTCTACATTGAAGAGGGGCGGGGTCGGTGGAGGGTCATCGCTTCTGACAGCGAATGCCCTTGTGAGTGCTGAAACGCAAGAGGGGGTCAAAATATATTATTCATAGTTAATATTGACTCGCTCGGGGGAGGGGAGAACCGTCTTTGAGGGGGGGCTTACATTTCACAAAAAGTATAGTAGAATACAGGGTGGCCCAACGAAAATGTCGCACCCCTATTTGTGACTCTCCTAGTATATTTTGGGAAAAACGCTCGGAACCGTCAATTTTGATTCCTAGTGGGACGTCATGATATTGCGTTACACTTTAGATTTTTAAATGGAAACTCCCATTTTTTCAATTTCTAGATTTTCCATAAAGTTTTCAGTAACTTTTGTATAATAAAGTTTATACCTATCTTCAATCGTTGTGCAACTTATTGAGTTTATAATAAAATTCTAGAAATTGTGATAATAAAGGATTATATCGTAAAAATAATAATCAAATATAGTTTTCATAGTAAAAAGACTTTAAAATTAAAAACTAGTGTCCGAGTATTAAAAAACAAAAAACATCTTACAAGTTTACACGCACATCAAAGTTGAAGTGAAAATTAATTTGCTATACAGAGGTAGGTCAATGTGGTAATAAGTGCTAAAAGTGGCGTCTATTTAACTCCATGCAATAATAAAGATTTTAGGTCCGGAGATCTCGGCGGCCACTCGACGGGGCCTCGTCTGCCGATCCTCTAATTCGGGAAATGGGTGTCCAAAAACTGTCGTGCTGGAGCCCCATAGTATGGTGGTGCACCATCTTGTTGGAAATAAATGTAATTTCCATTAAAATTAACTTCATTTTCTTTTATTTCGGTAATTCGTCGCTCTATTGTATTTTCTAACATATCCAAGTACGTCTGGCCCTACTATTCTACTATTCGTCATTATTCGTCAGAGCGGTCCGGTGGACCTCTGCTGTTAGTTAAAAGTCTCGTCGGTCTGTTAGTCTGTCAGGTCTGAGCTACCCAGATACCAAACATGTTTAAGGACGTCTGGCCCTTCAAGTATTCAAGATTAAAGAAAGGTTCTACAATATGGTTTCCGAAAATGCCGGCCCACACATTTATTTTTTCAGGATATTGTGAGAGTATCTTCCGAAACAAATGTGAATTCGAGTCACTCCAATATCGACAACTATGTCTAGTTACAACACCATGTGAGTAGAACGTACACTCATCCGATAAACAAATATTAAAAACAGATTTGCATTGTTGATTAAACGTTGGGTCATTAATTCGCAAAACTTCAACCTTCCATCAAAATCGTCTTCATTAAGCTCATGGACAAGTTTTATCTTGTACGAATGAAATTTATTGTCTTTCATTGTCATTCTTTGTACCTCTGAGCGGGTAAATCCTGAAGAAGCAGCCTCTTCACGAGTGCTTTGGGTGTATTCAAGTGCTACGTGTCCCAAAACTGTTATTTCTGTGGCTTCATTTCTAACTGGTCGATTTTCTCGATGGCGATTACGGCGAGTATTAGACACAGATCCAGTTTCTTCAATTTTTTTATCAACTTAGCCACATATTTATCGTTAATATTTTTGTCTGGATGTAACGCATTAAATAGCCGGGCAGTAGTAGCTCTTGCAATATCCCCATTTTGGTAAAGTTTTGTTATTTATACCCTTTCTTGAATTGGGTAGGTCATTGTTCAATATTTATCACAAGTAGGTAGGTAACTTAACAATTTGAAATGAAAGACAAAGTTTTTCCATGACATACGATGACACTGACGGATGTTAAATGTTCTAGCTGGTGTCCATTATTATTTGTCGTGCATTTGATAAATATCAGTATTAAGTCAGTCGAATTTTATTATAAACTCAAATAGCTTCACAACGTTTGCAAACATTCGTCAGAAAATTTCTGACAAAACAGCTGCAATTAAGCAAGTTCTTGTCACCCAGATGACATTCACAGAGCAACGAATCTTGTTCATGAAGTGAGAAATGCTCTTCATGAATTCCGTAATGAGCAATGGAGCGACTTTCTGTCGGGGATGTTTGACTCAAGTATTCCTCTCTGGAAAGTTGCAAAGTCGCTCAGAAACGGAAAGCGAGAACAACTCCCTCTTCAGAAGAATCCTCAACTGAAGAGCTGCATGGCGTATCAGTGGAATCTCCTGAGACTCCGCATTGAACATCAGCAGAGCTTCAAGGTCATATTAAAGACCCCAAGGTGAGAGGATCGAATCATTAATAAGGCGCTGAAGCTACTTTCACGGAAGTCCTTAACTTACCTCGTGGCAATAATCAATGCCATGCTAAGGACCCAGCACTTCCCAACTGCGTGGAAGACCGCTGATGTCATAATGATTCCAAAGAAGGTGGGTTCGATATTCCCCCAGGATTACCGCTCCATTAGTATACTGTCAGCTCCTTCTAAGCTCGCTGAAAAGGTGATTCTACGTCACCTTGAAAATTTCTCGTCTGACAACAATGTGATTCCTGGCGTGCAATTTAGCTTTCGGCATAGTACGGAACTACAGGCCATAAGGCTTGTTGAACGAGTAACCATGGGGTTCACCCGTAATGAAAATACTGGCATCTTGCTTCTGGATGTCTCAAAGGCATTTGACAAGGTGTGGCACAACGGCCTTCTCTACAAATTGATCTGTAAGGGCTTCCCATTCTGACCCCTAAAACTTTTGAATTCCTTCCTCGAGGGTACGAAATTTCGGATCAAAATTAATAACGTTCTGTCCACAACACAGCCCATCAAAGCCGGTATCCCTCAGGGTTTGGTTCCTGGACCAGTCCTTTATTCAGTTTTTATTCATGACGTCCCTTGCCCCAGCAACTGTGAAATCTATCGCTAAGCTGATGACACTGCCCTGGTGGCCCAGTCGTGGTCTGGGGATTTAGTTCACGACAAGCTGCAAAGTGCGGTGGACGAGGTATTGGAATGGGCGAATCGGTGGCTGATCAAAATTAATCATTTGAAAACGCAGGCAATCTATTGTACTAAAAAATGTAGCGGCGCCCGGTCTGAGGTTTCAGTGAATGGAGCTCGGGTGCCATGGGAAAGCTCTGATAAGTATCTCGGTGTCACTCTTGACCTGGCAGAAGCACACTGAAGCGTTAAAAACTAAATTCCAAATCTCGTTCCGGCAACTCCACCCTATGCTATGTAGAACATCAAAATTAAGTTTGATCAACAAAGTTCGTCTATATAAGATGGTTATTAGACCTGCGATCACTTACGCAAGTGCGGCTTGGTGTTTTCATGCCAAAACTCATTTGCGTAACCTGCAGGATTTGCAGAACAGAACCTTGCGTACAATCACTAACGCCCCATGGTATGTTTCTAACGATACCCTTCACAGAGACCTTGACATCCCTTACCTAAGGGTCTACTTCAAACAACAAGCGCAGCTACGTTATCTTCAAGCGGAATCGCACAACAACCCTTTGTTGCACGAGTCAGTAGACTACATAGTCGAGCAAGTTCGCAAGCATACAAGGCCACGACTCGCACTGTGAACAAAATTAAATCGTGCGATTTTAGGTCCAACCAAAATTATAATTTTTCTTCAACAACCAATCCCAAAATTAATTTTAGGATCAATTTAAAATTGCCGAATACTAATTAGCAATGCCAAGCCCCCCTCAAATTGACGCACTTCTTTTTTCTTTGCTCTCCCTCCTTCCTCCCTTTCTTTCTGCCTGACTTTGTTTGGTATCTGGTCAACCAGACCTGACAGACCTACTGACTTACAAGACTTCAACCAAGAGCAAAGGTCCTACGGACGGCTCTGACAGACAATGACGAAAGAGAGCTTCACAACGATTATAGATATACTGACTGACAAAAACAGGTAAGCACCTACGTATGTTTATCCAACTAAAATGTTTGGCATACATGTTCAGTGTCACTTACTAGTATCCACGATTTCTTAAACACTCATTGACACGCCTGGGCAATGTTGATCCATGAAGGCTAACAATGCTCTGGCAACATGAGGTTTGGCATTGTCTTGCTGAAAAATCGGGTTTTGGTTGGTGTTTAGGTATGGAATAAGGTGAGGCTCCACTACTTCCTGAATATAGCGTCGGGCTGTCATATTGCATCTGATGAAAATTAGTGGTGATCTGCTACCATAAGCAATATCACACCATACCACCACGAATCGCCCTGTATAGGGCACTGATAGCAGCTGTCCCGTAATTTCGATCCGGAAATTTTTTTAGACGAGAAGCGAGATAACCGAGGTATTTACTATGGAAACTGACCCAGGGGGGTCAGGAAATGGCGCTTCCACCATGGCAATGGAGATGGAGTCGAAGGAGCAGACCATAGAGGAGTTGAGAGCCGAATTGGAGATGGTTCGACAGGAGCTGTCAAAAAAGGACGATAATAAGACCATTGAAAGATTGATGATGATCATCGAAGCCCAGCAGCGGACAATTACCGACCAAACAGTTAAATTAGACCTCCAACTGAAAACCCAGGTACCTTCCCATCTAAATATTACACATTCTTCCCAAACACTTCCCAAAAATCCCAGTAAAGACAAAGCTGTCAATCTTAAGAGACCGTTAAATAATTCAAGCGATCTTTCCACAGACGACGATACACTCCCTGACGGTTTTACCAAGGTTAAGCCCCGTAAAACGCGACGAAACAAGACCGACACGACAGGCTTTCCTCCTCTCCCTCCACCAAAATCGCAGTCTGAAACGTCTCATTCAACTGCAAGCGACTCGAATAAACAGCCTGTGCCTAATCTATCGGTTACTTCCACGCCTTCGACAACTCAGGCACCAGAAGACACGACCGCACAGCCCCCACGCAAGGTACGTGTTACCCCCATCGTTCTTCGCGATGCTTCGAGATGGCGAGGCGTAAATCACAGGTTTATTTCTTTGGGCATCAAATTCGAGCGCGCGGTTGCCGTCGATGCAGGAATCAGGATAATTCCCAAGTCCGAGGATGATTTCCGCAGGATTATTCGTCTCTTCAGGGAGGAAGAGGTGCCCCATCACACTTTCCCTCTACCCTCCGAGCGGAACATTCATGCTGTAATCAGAGGAGTACATGCGACACTTTCGGAAATTGAGATCAAGGAAGAGTTGCAACAGAGGGGATATTCCCCCCTGCACATAATTCGCCTGAAACGCGGTGGCGGCGTGCCCATGCCTATGGTGGTAGTCATACTGCCCAAGATAGAAAAATCTCAGCAGCTGTTCAACGAACACGAGCTGCTGGGTTTGGCTATCCGAGTCGAAGTTCAAAAGAACTCAAGACTCATCGGGCAGTGTCACCGCTGCCAAAAATATGGGCATGCGAATCTTACTGCACTGCACCACCTAAATGTCTAAAATGTGCTTCTGACCACATGACCCACTTATGCCCTCAAACAGAACAAGAGGAACGAAAGTGCGCGAACTGTGGAGGGGGGCATCCAGCGAATAGCCGAACTTGCAGATTTGCCCCTAAGAAAAATCTGCAAGTGATAGCGCAAAGGCGCAATGTAAGTTACGCGGATGCAGCTAGGGATGCAACCCGGGCTGCCCCCTTTGTGGGATCTTCTGCGAACACGCAAAATGTGGACCTGGCAACCGCGCTAAGGTCCTTACAGTAGATCATAGGTCCTCTGATTAGCGCAACACAGGCTTTGCAGGCGATCTTTCCTACAAATGGCTAGGTACAATCGACGACAGCCTGCATTTATCAAAATTCTTTTTTGGAATTGTTTGGGTCTAAGGGACATTCCCAAAAGACGGGAATTTCATCAAGCTCTTGTGGACGAAAGTATAGATGTGGCCTTGCTGCAGGAAATATTACTTAATCCGGGAGATCGTCTAGCTTTCCCGAATTACGATGTTATCCGGGCTGATAGATTGACTGGACGGGGTAGCGGCTGGCAGTGCTAGTGAAACGCGGTATTGACTACCACAGAAGCACAAACGCTGACATGCAGAGCATCGAAGCGGCTTCCGTGGTGGTCAATATGACGGGAGGTGTGCCGTTAAAAATCACATCGGTGTACGTCAGGTGTGGTAACAGGCTGCAAGAGGCGGATCTGGAAGTCCTTTTAGACTGCTCGGGTCCACTTATTGTGGCAGGGGACTTCAACTGCAAACATCGAGCATGGCATTCCAGGTTGAATTCCACCAGTGGGATCCGACTGTACAACCATGTGATACGAAATGGCTACCTCATACATAGTACTGAGGAGCCGACGCACCACCCATTTAATCACCTTCAGGCACCTGATGTTCTTGATTTGGCATTATCCAAAACCTGTAGCTACAGTATCACTTCTCTAATCATGTATGACATCTCAAGCGATCATCTTCCCGTCGTTTTGGAAGTGGCTAATGAGCAGATCTTGGGGGATGAAATCCCTCCAAGAAAACGCATTGATTGGGAGCTATACAAGTCGCTCCTCAAAGAGTTCCCCAATATACCGATCATAGATGATGAGAACGGTATAGATGCGGCTCAAGCAGAGTGGACAAGTTTTGTTCAGCAAACTCTGCAGCGTGCAGCTGTACTTCCCGTGCAGCGACACGGCAGACCTTTTCTGCCAGCAGACATTCGTCAGAAAATTTCTGATAAAAGAGCTGCAATTAAGCAAGCGAAAAGGTCTTGTCATCCTGATGACATTCGCAGAGCGACGAATCTTGTTCATGAAGTAAGAAATGCTCTTCATGAATTCCGCAATGAGCAATGGAACGACTTTCTTGCGGGGATGCTTGACTCAAGCATTCCTCTCTGGAAGGTGGCGAAGTCGCTCAAAAACGGAAAGCGTGAACAAATCCCACACATTCACGGTCCTGGAGGAATTGTCTTCAGGACAGAGGAGAAGGTTGAGGTTTTCGCCGATGCCATGGAAAGACAGTTCTCTCCCAACTATGAACTTGATAATGACCTCGACGAGGAGCAACACATCGTAAGATCTGTCAGGAGATATTTTAGGGCCAACGGCGTCAGTGACAGTCGCGCATTCGTTGGTGATTTTTCTTCATCAGAAGATTCTTCTTCAGAAGCTTCTTCAACCGAAGATCTGCTTAGCACATCAGCGGTATCTCCTGAGATCCCGCATTGCACACCAGCAGAGATTCAAGGTCATATTAAAGCTTAAAGTGCGTAAAGCACCTGGGGAGGATCAAATCACTAATAAGGTGCTGAAGCTGCTTTCGCGGAAGTCCTTAACTTATCTCGTGGCAATAGTCAATGCCATGCTAAGGATCCAGTACTTCCCATCCGCGTGGAAGACCGCTGAAGTTATAATGATTCCAAAGAAGGTGGGTTCGATATTTCCCCAGGATTATCGTCCCATTAGCCTGCTGTCAGCTGCGTCTAAGCTCGCTGAAAAGGTGATTCTCGTCAGATCACCATGCGATTCCTGACGTGCAATTCGGTTTTCGGTCTGAACATAGTACGGAGCTACAGGCGGTTAGGCTGGTGGAACATGTAACCAGAGGATTCACCCTTAACGAAAGTACTGGCATCTTGCTTTTGGATGTCTCAAAAGCATTTGACAAGGTGTGGCACGCGGGCCTCTTGTATAAACTAATCCAAAAGGGCTTCCCTTTTTGGCTTCTAAAACTAATGAAATCCTTCCTTGAAGGTAGGAAATTTCGGATCAAAATTGACAATGTGCTGTCGACAACACGGCTGATTACAGCCGGCGTCCCTCAGGGTTCGGTCCTTGGACCTATCCTTTACTCACTGTACATCCATGACGTCCCTAATCCCAGCAACTGTGAAGTCTATCTCTATGCTGACGATACTGCATTGGTGGCTCAGTCGTGGTCTGGTGACCTAGTCCATGACAGGCTGCAAAGTGCGGTGGAAGAAGTATTAGATTGGGCGGATCGGTGGCTAATTAAAATAAACCATTCGAAAACGCAGGCAATCTACTGTACAAAAAGACGTCGCGGCGTTCCGTCTGTAGTTTCAATGAATGGACTTCGTATACCATGGGAATCGTCCGCTAAGTATCTCGGTGTCATTCTGGACAAAGGGATGAATTGGCGGAACCATATGGAAGCGCTAAAAACTAAATTCCAAATTACGTTTCGGCAGCTTTACCCATTATTATGTAAACGGTCAAATTAAGTTTGACTAACAAGATTCGACTCTATAAGGTGGTCATAAGACCAGCATTGACTTACGCATGTGCGGCTTGGTGTTTTATTGCTAAAACACACATGCGAAGTCTGCAGGTTCTGCAAAGCAGGACGTTGCGCACTATTGCTGATGCCCCATGGTATGTCTCTAACGAAACTCTACATAGAGACCTCGATGTCCCTTACCTAAAGGACTACATTAAGCAACAGGCGCAGCGGCGCTATAGCCTAGCGGAATCGCACAGCAACCCTCTGTTGCGTGAGTCAGTGTACTACACAGTCGAGCAAGTTCGCAAGCACAAAAGGCCGCGGCTCGCACTGTAATCAAAATTAACTCGTGAACTTAGAACAACCAAAATTGGAGCATTTTTACACAACCTTTAGAAAAAAAAAACAAATATTTTTAGACCATATCAAAATCTGTGAAGTGATTTTAACAATGCCTAAACGCTGCCTATCCTAAAAGATTCGCTTCTTCCCCTTTGCTCTCGTTCTTCCTTCTCTCCTTTCTTTCCCCTTTTTTCCTTAAAATTGTCTGGTTTCTGGGTTACCAGACCTGACAGACTTACAAACTGACACTATGACTCAAGAGCTAAGGTCCCACGGACCGCTCTGACAACAAACGATGACTTGACTTGACTGACCATACCACCACGGTGGGTGTGGTGAACGTAAGGTTCTCTGTCAAATTGTGGGCCACGTCTTTCACCACGTGGCCTTCTTACTCTTGAACGACAATCGTGCATCACCAGACAGAAGCGGGATTCCTCACTAAAGACCACCTGATTCCATTTCCGATCCCATAGAATTATGTCTCTACACCAATGTGGGCGATAAAAAAAGGCCAAACTGTCGTATTCAGCGATTTATCGTACGGATACCAACTATCCTTCCATGCTCTTCAAACCACTGATTAGCGATGGCTCGAGTACTACTGAATCTGTCCTTCAGAGCCAGAAGTCTTAACCGGTGGTCGTGTCGCTCTGTGGTCCTTCTCGGACGTCCAGAACCCCTCACTCGCTGTCCTCGGGCTTCCTGAGTCCACGCTCGTTCACACTGCAGTATAATGCGTAATGATCTGTTGGTCCTCCTAGAAACTTCTCTTATTTATAGACCGGCTTCACGCAGCCCGACAATTCGATTCCTCTCAAAGTCAATGAGCTGGGACAACCGTCGAATTCTACGCACTCTAGGCATTTTGGGGGATCACAACAAGGCTTCTCACGAAATTTAACATTTAACTGACACAGTAAATGTACGAAAACTGAATGCTTCTTTATCACCAAACGATAAATGCAGCCACCAAAAAAAACTTAACAGAAAAACCTGACCATTTTATCAGGTGTTCTTGGCAAGATGAATCGATATGTAAAAAACTCTTATAAACATGTGCAGGTGTTTACCTTTTTTGTCACTATAAGTATAGGTATAATGTTTATTATACAAAATTACTAAAAACCTCATGGAAAATCTAAAAATAAAAATAATGAGGGTTTCCATTTCAAAAACGTAAAGTGTCACCGTGTATTGTACGGCTATAGTCCCCCTTGAAATCAAAATTGCCGTGTCCGAGCGTTTTTCCAAAATATAGCAGGAGAGTCACAAATGTTGGGCCAACATGTATAAGGAAAAACATAAAAACGTATAAGGTTGTGGGGTTCTAGGGAACCTGCACCCCACAGCCCCTCAATTCGCCATTGCTACGTTAGCCTTAGGAGCCTACGAAAATTTTAATATCATTAAGAATGTCAGTTTCAACCTTCTACAAATAATACTAGTCTTGCCTTTATCAACTGAATATTTTGAACACGATTACTTATTTGTTCGGTCTAAAGATAACAAACCTATATCAGCTGGGAATATTAACATTATTAACCCATATAATCATTTTGGTAACAAGCGCCTGGCGTTAACAATTTTTAAAATTTGAAAATAACTGTAATAAAAAGTTGCAAAAAGCTAACGACACGCGGTGTTCCCAAGCGGTCACCCATCCAAGTACTAACCGCGCCCGACGCTGCTTAGCTTCGGCGATCAGACGAGTGCCGGCGTTTTCAGCGTGGTATGGCCGTTACCTGTTAAGTTTTGTTTGGAACACGGAATAAGAGGTTCCAAAAATTTATATAAAATCGTAGATAGTACATATCGTGCCATCTATTAGTCTTCAATAGAACCTTGCTTGAAAACTAATATCTTCTTAAATTGTTTCTTATGCAACCAAGAACACGACAGATGATATTGCCAGTTACATAAAATATAGAGAGTGACTTTTTGAAAAATGTATTTTCAGGAAATATAAAAATATCCAAGGCGGTTTCAGCATTATCAAAACGCAAAAATTCTGAAGATCCACATATTGTGGATGATAGAAAGGACGATTATCCCCACGGCTGTTTTCATTGATCATTTACATCGAATAAAATTAAAAAACAAATAGAAATTGAACCAAAGATATATAATGAAACGAAAGAGGTCTGGGCGCAAAGATACGAAGCACTAATTCCACTTACAATGAAGCACCGGTTCTGCTAACACGGAAATCAACTGGTTTTGAGCATCAGGTCTTTGGAAACCATCTCATAGAAATATTATAAACACAGTGGGTATAATTTGGTGCATACATTGTTATTCACCTCTAGGTCCCAAACACTGATTGATCGGGTTCCGTAAATTTGCTTAAATTCAATAAAATCCAGTGAAACATGTATTCTAAAAATCACTCACCATTACTCTTTTCTGGACTTTCAGGCCCCTTTAAGATATTTCTAGGTATATCACATCAGCTTAAAAAGTCCACTAAGCAGTTTAGAACACAGCTACGCCAGTATGACATAAAAACCGATGTTAGTTTTTCTACAATAAACCTGTTTTTTTGAAAAGCCAAGTATTCAAAATCGAAAATTGACAGTTTGTCCGGCTGTGCGACGTTGCCAAGTGCACATATTTATAGCAACATTTCATAGAACCAACAACAGAAACGTTTCAATTTTATAGAATATCCAGAACAATTAAGATAACATTTTATAATGTTTAACAATTTCAAATATGAGATCATCTCATTAGGATTATAACAACACAATCTGAATCGTTAGGATTCCAAAACTTTATTATTTAGATCGAGAGCTGGTACCGGGCCTTTTGGAATCATTTTTTTTAACCAACAAATATTTAAAAGAAAACCATAAAGCACGATTGACTTTATTTTCAAAATTATTACAATTCGAACAAATTACATAAAGCGCATAGAAAAAAGATTAATTGTAAGTCATGTATCTGGGGGTAGCCGAGAATTTCGCGTAGGACTTGATGACCTTGTTAACAGCTTCAAGGAAGTCCTTCTCAGTAGCCACCTTCCTTCTAGCTCTGATTGCAAACATTCCAGCTTCAGTACAGACACTTCTAATTTCAGCACCAGTTGAGTTTGGACACAGTCGAGCCAAAAGTTCAAACCTGAAAAAGAGATAAGTCCCTATTAGGACAAATACAGAGCAACCTGAAATTGAAGAGTGGGCTGTTGGTCAAAATGTAGAAAGCGATGTACTTCTGACAGATGAAATAATTCAAGAAATTGGCGATAATTCAGATACTAAAGAAATTGTAAATATAAAATCGGATTTGGTAAAACACGGACAAGCTGTATCTGCTTGGATTTGAAGTGGAAAACAAAAAAAAATACAATTTTTTCACTTTATGATTTTACATTAAGTGTAAAATAAAGTGATATTTTAATAAAAATTATGTGCTATTTTTATTCCTACCGCTAATCAGAACGATTCGCTAATCGAGACGACAGTTTGCAACAAGGTGTTCTTATTAAAGAGGTTGCATATTCATCAAGAAAGAAGGTAAAGGTACCCAACTCAGTTGGACGCAATAGGGAATATGGATGATTTTTTTTGTCATGTATATCGATTACTGAAGTTTATATAATAACATTAACACATATTCCATTCATGGAAATGTCTATTTTTAATTAAATAGTTAAAATTGCAATGCCAATGACGTTGAAAACGCCGCATTTTGGCACGCTTTGCAGTGACGTCATAACCCATGATTTGTCATTTGATTGATTTTAGGTTAGGTGACTGCCGAGCTTTTTACACGGGGTTGCCAGGCGCGACGATTATTCCTCAAAGTGGCGATTTGACAGCTTCAAATGGCGACTAAAATCGATAGCTTAAGCAGCGTTCTCACGAGTCGATTTTGGTTGATCAACTTAAACGCGAACTCCTTTCTGGCGGCCCGCTTCACGGTTCATGTATACATCACATGTATAAATTACTCTCAAATACCGAATATGCACAATTCTTACATCAACTCAGTAATAATGTTGTATAGAAAGATTTTATATTGCGGCCCTCCAAACTGCATTTTTTTTTTGAAGTGGCCCTTGGGCCACATTAAGTTGGACAGCCCTGCTTAAGCACATTGGCTTCCATGTAGTTAAAGTGGTGTCTCAAGCATTCTTGTTTCGGTAACTCTAGAGCAGGGTATTCCATAAACAATCATGCTGTTGATATAAATCAAAAAAATGTAGCACAGTACTTTTCAGACCACTTCATGCTCATTTTTTGTCTTTTTTACCACACACAACAAGCACACGAGTTCAACTAAAATTGATCAACTAAAATCGAGAACACGGTTCACAAGTATATTTTTATTCGATTTTTGTTGGTCAATAAAAATCGTTCTACTAAAATCAACTCGTGAGAATGCTGCTTTAGCGATTGACTACTTTATTGGCGCCTAGTATCCAGCAAATTGGCGATATCTGAAGATTTTTAATATTGCTGACGCCAATCAATTCCTAATTCGTTTTTACCGATAGGTATGTATATAGATTAATGAAATATGAAACGAGGACCAGCGAAAGTGTGATCCGAACACAACGGAGTTTATGGTCAAATGTCATGTCAAAGTGGTGTGTCCCCAGAATATCAACGACATCTCATCCTAAAACTGTTGACACAGTGTTGCTTCATGTACGATTATTACCGTTTTTGTACGATAACCGGGAGGGAGAGAAAGAGAGCTCCCCAAACATCAGCGAGGAAAGCTAGCACCCCCGCCTGCTCCGCGTTTCCGTTGTCACAAGATTACAAGAGCATTCGCTCCCAGAAGTCCCTCCACCTCAAAATGTCCCTCTGGATCCGGCCCGGGAATGAACTTATACGAGGGATGTCTTTTAAGTTTTGCATATAGAAATAAAACTACACGGTAGGTAGTTTTAAATGACTTTATTGTTTTTCGAAGTATTCTCCACGAAGATTAATACACATCTGCATGCGCTCGAACTAATTTTCGAAGCACTCATTCCACTCGTTTGCTGGCAAATCCAAAACGGCATTTTTGAATGCGCCAACTGCTTCTGGTGACTGGAACCTTTGACCACGCAGTCTGTTTTTAATTTTCAGGAAAGTAAAGAAATCGTTAGAACTTAGATCTGGACTATATGGAGGATGGTAAAATAATTCCACGTTTTATTCCGTTAAATACTGCCTTGTTTTTTGGGCTGTGTGGGAGCTTGCATTGTCTTGGTGGAGGATGATTCTTCTTTCGGGGGTTGATTTTTCGAAGCTCGGAGATGACTTTTGGCAAACAAATGGTGATATACCAATTCGCCGTAACAGTTCTTTGCTCATTAAGAGGAATTGTTGCAATATGACCCGCTTTTGACACAAATGTCGCCACCATCTTTTTCGAAACTCTTCGAGAATGGATCACCTTGGAACACCCAAACAGCCGAATGTCGTTTATTTTCTGGTTCACAACAGTAAATCCACGATTCATTACCACTAACAATGCTGTACACATTTTTTGAATTTCCGGAATTGAAACTGTCAAGCGTTTTTTGACACCAATTAACCCTGGCTGCTTTCTGCTCTTCAGTCAACAGGTGGGGTATCCAACGAGAAACTAATTTTCTTACTCCTAATTCTTCATGTAAAACTTTTTGAATTGAGGTCTTTGAGATCTTTAAGGACGCCTCAATCTCGAGATATGTCACATGTCTATCTTCAATGATGAGTTTGCGCACCGCATCGACGTTTTCCTGGGTATCTGCCGTTTTTGGTGCACCCACCCTGGAATCGTCGCTAAGACTCACCCGTCCACGTTTGAATTCGCCATACCAACGAGAAATTGTCGACTGATGTGGCGCTTCGTTGCCGAAAACAGACAGTAACTCAGCAAGGCATTCTTGTTGCGACAATTGTCTCTGCAAGTTGTAGTAAATTATAGCGGGAAAATGTTCTCGGTTGAGTTCCATTTTTCTAATGACTTGGTGACACTTAAAAATTCACTGTAGTGAGAACACTGCACATATTGTTGTAAAACTTTGAATTTAAGTTTACTAAAGAGTGAGGTTAAGATTCAGTACTGACGTTTGATCCGCGCGGCCTATGTTTCTTTATGCAAAACTTAAAAGACATCCCTTGTAGTTTCGTTCAGATTATACGTGTTTAACAACCTCCCAGCCGCACCCGATGCTGTTCAATGAACTATTTATTCTTGGAGTAGTATGCCTAACCCCCCTCACCCCCACTCTTCAGTTATCGTCGTTAACAGGCAGTCACTACCATCCTCCCTCCCCCTCCGCCTGGTAACAAATCCATTCCAATCTCTAACCTGACGTTTTATAATTAGACTCCTTGTCATTTTCACTTTAAGGATTCGCGATTTCTGGCGACTTTCTCATCAAAACTTGGCGACAAACTTGACTGAAAACCTGGCAACCCTGTTTTGACATAGTAACTGCTCAAATTACATTGAAAAGCTGGAACGCCAAACTGACGGAGTTGCTTTCCAGTGACCCTGTTGAGTTACTCTGAGTAACTCAGTAGCGCTAAGCACCAATACCATTCCACTGCACGTTTTATTCTCATGGATTGTTTCTGGAGCAGTTCAGGAGCAAACAAAAAACCACTGAAAAGCAGCTCAGGTTTACAATCAGTGTCTGAGAGAACAAACTCCTGCCATTTTAGATCCGACTGATCAATAAACAAGGGGTTGGCTGGTCACAAGTCACAAATGGAGACGTCACGCTAATATGCATTTACGCTTGTTAAATATTTTTCGTATTGTTTCCATTTCTCATTAATTGATAATTGTAATTTAATAGCATTAAAGTATAAAACAAGGTTGAAATCCTCATTCTGAAACAATACAGACTATAAGAGTTTTCTGAAACACCCTCTATATTTTTGACCACAGTGTTTAGATAATGGGATTTTTTAGCGTCGTTAAGAAATACAAAATCTTACGAGGGCGATTGTCTATGTTAATTAAGGCTTGAATAATTGATTTGTCCCTTCAATAAATGATCTATGTATTACCTGATGTCTCTCTCTACAGACATGGACCTGGCATGGATCTTGAAAATATGAGTCCTGCCCTCCAAATCTGGCAGTCCAAACTCTACTTTTCTATCAAGACGTCCCGGACGCATTAGGGCTGGATCAAGGGTATCTGGACGATTGGTAGCCATCAGGACTTTGATATTACCGCGAGGATCAAAACCGTCCAGTTGGTTGATCAGCTCTAGCATAGTACGTTGGACCTACAAAAAAAGAAAAAAAAACAATTGGCCATGTTCACACCATGCTGAGCCATCCACATAATACCAGATAATTATGTTGTTCTGTGTGTTTACACTGTCTTTGCGAAAAGATCATGCAACACCAGTCTGTTCACATTACATAGCTTGCTTCACAGCACAAGCTATATATGTGGGTTTATTCTGTGTGATTTCTTAGAGCATTATAGATACATAGAACAACATGATTATCTGATGTTCTATGTCAGGTGCAGCATGGTGTAAAAAAATATCACTATTGTTGGAATTTCTACAATTTTGTTCACAATATGTCAGAAAACAGTCATATTTTTGGCATATTGATTGAGTTTACAGGTCTGGTACCAGGAAGTGTTATTTTGAAATTGTTTTTCATATCAAAACTATGCAATCTGATTTGAAACTGTCCATAAATTCGTAGAAGAATTAAACTAGTTGTTAGTTATTTGTCATGACAATGTTTTCTCAGTTGATGGATCAAGTTCCCTAAAAATATCACATTGATACAGATCCATATTTTTGCAAAACTTATAATATATTGTCATATTTTTGTATGTCCTAAAAGATTAATTCACAATTGCAGAGATAATCTTAGGTTATTTAAATAGAAATAAATAAATCCTATCATCTGAGACATACCTCATTATCCCCTCCAGCCCCATCATCAAATCTAGCTCCTCCAATAGCATCAATTTCATCAAAGAATATCAGACAAGCCTTCTTTGATCTGGCCATTTCAAACAACTCTCGAACCATTCTTGCCCCCTCTCCAACATATTTCTGCACCAATTCACTTCCTATAACTCTGATGAAACAGGCATCTGTTCTATTGGCAACTGCTCTGGCACAGAGGGTCTTTCCAGTACCAGGGGGGCCAAAGAGGAGTACCCCTTTTGGGGGTTCAATACCCAACTTCACAAATTTCTCAGGCTGAAAATCAAGATTTACAAGATATATTTTTTGTTATTGGTAAGGAAAAAGATTAGGTTTAGCTAAAGGCTATTGGGAAAAATCAATGCGAGAACATGGATACCTGCCATCAAGGTAAAATTACTGTCTAGACTTTAGATCAATGTTTGCTATCTGCAGAATTATTTATTAAAATTTTGAATAGTTAACAACCCTATGAACAATTTGTGTAAAGTACTGTAAAACGGAGATGTCATATTTATTCTAGGACATATTAAGTGGAAAAAATAATGAGAGAGATATCTGAAATTATGGATACTGACATCCAGATAAAAGTGTTTAGATTTTGGTAATGATAAATGAAACTTGAGCATGAAAAAATTCTTACATGCAATAAAGGTGTTTCTACAACTTCTCTGAGTTTCTCTATCTGCTCCTTACAACCTCCTACATCACTGTAAGTTACATCTGGCTTCTCCTCTACTTGCATCATTGTTACTGTGGGGTCAATTTTTGGGGGCAATGGGATATGAATTTGGTACTTGTTACGATCCACACTGAAAATAGAGTTTTACAGAGTTAAAAGTTTCAAGATCATACAAAGTAAAATTTTCTCAGCCAGCAGTCTCAAAAACAAAATGATCAGAATCATAATGATCTAATTTTTTTTCTTTTCCAGTGGTTTCACAGCTGTGTTTTTCAGCCCTTAAACCTAGCATAATTGCCTCAGTTTGTGCCTCAAATAGCAAGTATAAAACAAGGTTTCATCAAGATCTTACCCAACTCTCATTCCCTCTTCAATATCTGTAGGAGCCACAGAATCAGCCAAATCAACCACAAACTTAGCAAACTGCTTGACATTGATGATATACTTTGGATCATCAGTATCTGCATTGATGATTTTTGTACATCTAGCCACTTGAAGTGGTTGTTCATTCTGTAGAGTTTGCTTGTCTGCAGCTAAGTCCCATAATGCTGGTGGAGCTAAGCCAGTGTCCGATTCCTTGATACCAGTGAGTTCATTGACTCGTTTGATTATGCTTTGGATATCATCTTCACAGGATTTTATGGTTTTTGTGTATTGTCCTTGGCCCTGAAACGATACACCTTTTACCTATGGTTTGAAATATTTATATCAATACTTACGTATGTCTTTAGAAGTGCAATATCTCCTTCATCGAGGGCTAAAAAAAGATAATTAATTTTTAGCATAGTCTAAAAAATTAATGTAGCATACCTTTAATTTCCTTTTCGGGCTCATCTTTGTCTTTCACCTTACGCATATCGTCTCCCAAATGGTCCGGCATTTTCGGTTTTTATTCAAAACTCAATAATAATAAGGATGAAAAGTAGACTTACAAGCAAAATTTTTGATTTGTCATCTGACACTTTTGACATATGACAGATGTACCTTGACAGAATTCCAAGCTATGCCCAAGCCACAAAACACATAAGACCAAGCTATCCAGATACCAAAAACAAATAGCTGGATTGTACATAATATATCAAAAGTTCCATTGGACTGTCTGCCATTTTAAATCCTAAAAATATTATGTACTCGACTATCCAAAAATATTAGCCAAATTTACCAATGTTGAGAATCTCTTGTATAAGGTCTTTTGTTGCAATTATATTACGTTCTGCATTTTATCTGAGTTTCCTGAATTAATCTTGAATAAAAGTGTTAATAGCTAGCACAGTTAAGCTTTCTGAACACAGATGTCGCCGCCAAAACATCATGTTTACTCTTTTTGACGCTTTGTCACTTGCGAATTTTGTTTGTCAATGTCAATGGCCGGGTAAAAAATATTTATAAACAAGTTTTAAGTCTTGAAATAAAAACATTTCCTCACAAATGTCTGGTTACAAACGCGTTAGCTTTTACGAATTGTGCAGACTTTGTGCTTCAAACACTCAAAAAGAAAAAGTGCATATATTCAGAGACGAGGGCAAGAAAATCCAGCTTCAAAATAAAATTCAGACTTGCTTGGCGCTAACAGTTAGTTCCAGGCTGTTTTTAGTTAATATCTAGGCATTATATAACTATTCACATTTTAGGTAAATGAAAATGATTTCTTACCCAAGGTGGTGTGTTCAAAATGCTTGCAAGGCCTGGAGACGTGCTATGTCTTCAGACAAGAGTGTGTACGATCTGAAACAATGTTGTCTACATATTTCAAGAATTTTCGGTATACAGACGATTTTAAGAAGTCAGGGAAGGTATGTGATTTTGTTTGCTATTGTAGTTCTGTAATTCTATATCTCTCTCTAATGTCTGTATCCTGTGGTTTACATGTCAATAATCCCCCATGCTTGTGTGGCTATTAAAACCAAATGTATTGATAGAAGATTCTAAGCATGGGGGGATTACCTATCTAGGTAGTTTTGTGGGAGAAGGATGAAAAAATGTTTCTAAGAAAATGATTTGCTTTGCTTGATTGATTACGAATGCCTAGAATATGTGACAGGATGAGTCTTCAAACAGAGGTTATCCAGTTTTGAATGCTAATAGGAACTAGCAAGTGTAATAATATGGCAGAAGTTTAGACTGCATAATTTGTTTTTTATTGAACTGCAATTGTGATTTTTTTCTTAAGGTATATATAAAGGATACTAAGCCACCTAACCAGACTCAAGCAGCTCCACAACCAATAACAGAAGTGTTGACAGCTGTCAACCCTGCCAATAATGTTGCTACCACCACATCAACCCCAGTGCCTGCTGCTACTGCACAGGTTCAACAGAATGTCATTCCTTTTTACACCTTGCAACTGCCTGCCATTGTTACAAATCCCAATGCTGTCTCCCAGCCCAAGAAAGAGGTAAGGAAATGATACATTCCTTCCAAATACTTTTAGCTTCAACATATTGTAGAAGAATCACACAAAATATTCTTAATGTAGAAAACGAATAAATGAAACTCATAATTGAAAACCTTTGGATGACATTCTTCAAATATACATTATACCCTATTTCACGAGTATCCATCACAGTAGAATGACAGCTGATTATCTAGTAATATCTCAAATTTCCCCATATTGGCACCAGACACATATTTCTGACAGATCTGTCAACTCCAGACAGTCAGACCCATATTTTGTTTTGGTTTTTTGTATGCTACAGATTCATTTTGTACTTGCTAACTGCCCTTTTATTTAGAAAAGTTCATTTGCATACAAAAAGCAAAATGCCACATACAAGTTTTATTAGATTTATACCCAATTCGTTATTGCCAACATTGCAGACTAACACAAAAGCTGTTCACCTCAGTAGTTTTTTTTTTTTTTTTTTTTTTTTATACTCCAACTACCACGAAGGCCTGAGGCCTAAGCACCCATTGGGTACCGTGGGGCTATGGGGGATACATGGGAAAGGGGGGACGCCACACGGACTCTGGCGAGGGAACACGTGTGCATGCAACATGCACACATTCTGGCTCCGCCTACGAGAACCGCCGGGTGGTACCTCCGCGTTCGACAGTCAGAGACCATCTACCACCTACGGACAATCACAACATCCATGGCCAAGAGAAACATTTCTCCTGGAGACGGGAATCGAACCCGCACAGCGCACGGCGACTGATCAGGAGACCGAAGAGTCTACTACTGCGGCCACCGCTGCTGCCTAAAACAAACACACAACATCCATGGCGAAGGCGAGATTCGAACTCGCGGCCCGGCCGGCCGGCTGATCAGTAGCACGACACTCTGACCCACGCGGCCAACCGAGGTCCCAGGTAGTGTGATGATATAGTGAAATCGAGTATACATACTACATATAATACTTTTCCATACGTTTCCTCCTGATCCTTTAAAATTGTGCTATTTTTCATGTAGGTAATCACTGATAATTCTAAGATCAACCAGAATCAGTTCGCTTACAACCTCAACCTGATCAACACATCAAATATAAAGACAACAATGCCTAAAAATGACACTTTAAACAATATTGTCATCAATGGAGAAGTGATAAATTTTACACAAATGGGAGATTTGGACACACTGCTAAACCAAGGTATAGATAAGATATTTTTATATGAATACTCATTTCTTGATTGAGATCTTAAAAATACATCTAGCTTTCTTAAGACATGTCTTTCTATTACTCTTAACAATTTTGTATACTTTTCAGGCAGTGTTTTGAAAAGCAAGGTGAAAAGCAAAACAAAGAAAGTGGTTGTATCAGATGATAGTGTTGTCAAAATTGATCTGACCAACCAGGAAATTGGTGGAGACTATCAACAGATGGATTCAAAAGCAGATAAACTGCCACATATCAAGTCTACAAATAATATGAATCAGCCAAACCAGAATCAGAAGTACAACTATTCTGTGAAGGTAAATAGGCGACCAAGTGCAGCCTGAATGGTTGGAAATTATTTGTTTCACATTTTTGGCAATCTTGGTTCATGAGATGCTATAGTCAACGCCAAACAAAGTGGCGTGCACGTCATCACGATAAAAATTCCCCGACCTAATGCCTAGGTTTCTATCACAAACAATTGCTCTATTGCAGTTTCATATTAATGTGATATATAAATTGTAAAATGGTCATTACTCTCTTATTATGGTTAATAGTCATATAAACATTGTTATTAAAATATCACATAAGTTGCTTTCTGATAAATTTAGACGCATTATGCGAAATAAAATGTTTTGCAAACACTCCAATCACTTATCGACATGTAAACGCACTAAACCGATTTCGCAGCGTTGACACATTGTCACCTTGAAACTTATTTAAACTGGGAACTGACATTTGTATTAATTTTGACACTGAATCAATTTGTGGCATTTCAAATCTTTATAAATCCTTTGGCCCCGCATACTGTAAATCAACAACTGTTTGTTTCAAAACAAAATTATTCATTTTACGAGTAGATAAAGGCAATTTTGGTATATAAAGATGCCCAAACAGTTAAATAGTCGGTGTAAGGAACTCGTGGCCTCGTTAATGCACTACTTTGAGCAAGAAAGGGACAACAACGGGCCTTTGTTGCCTTTAAATGCTGTTCAAGAGGTAGGTTACTAATAATTATATGTAATGTATATTAATAATAGTGAAATTTTATTTCATTTTTTGTAGCGTGTTGCTGCTGCTTTAAAAATTAGTTTAAGGACAGTTAGTCGTATTTCCGAGGGTGTGAAAAGTGATGCAAATTTAGAATCGCCCAAGAAAAAGCGGAGTTATATTGAACGTGTAACCAACACAGCAACATTGGATACAAGTGCCATTCGAGAAGTGATCTATAATATGTATCACAAAAGTAAGATCTTATTATAATAACTTATCAGAAATTTGCATTAATTTGTTAACTAAATTATAATGTCATATTACACATGGTTTCAGAAGAACAAGTTACGATACAAACTTTATGGTCTCGATTAAGAGATAGGGCATTATTTGATGGTAGTGCCACGTCTTTAAGGTGGTTGCTTAGAGATCTTGGATTTAAGTGGCTTAAGGACAATCCGCGACGAGGGCTCATGGAACTACCAAGTATAGCTTTGAAAAGGGTGGAATTTCTTAGGCAATACAATCAAGCCAAGGTTGAGGCCTCATACCAGTTTGTCTTCCTCGATGAAACTTGGATATTTCAAAATGGGACCATAGGTCGCTCTTGGCAAAATGGAAACCAAAAAAGCGTGAAAGCTATTAAAACAGATGGTAAAAGGTATGTACTTTTACACAATTTGCACTATAAAATTTAAAACTAATATATTTTAGATACATTATATTACATGCTGGAAATGAAAATGGGTTTATTGAGGGTAGTGAAGCGATATTTTCTTCGAAAACAAAATTGAGCGATTACCATGGAGAGATGAACCAGGACAATTTTTTGAAATGGTTTCAACATCAGTTATTAGAAAAATTGGAGAGTCCATCTATGATTATACTGGATAACGCCCCTTATCACAGCATGATATTGAACAAAGTGCCCAACAATGCATGGACAAAAAAAAAAATATCCAAGACTGGTTGACAAATCAAAACATACCATTTTTAAACACAATGTTTAAAACAGAGCTATTGAGTATTGTTGCTCGGTACATAATGCTTCTTAATTATATATATTTTGGTCGACAGTTTATATTTCTTTTGTTTATTCCTATTCTTAAAATAACTGCTTTTTTAGAAACAAACCACCTAAAATATACGTGATTGATGAATTGGCGGAACAACATGGGCACAAAGTTCTTCGTCTGCCTCCTTACCATTGTATATTTAACCCTATTGAGTTAATTTGGGGCATAGCAAAAGGTTACTATAACAGACATATTGGTAGAGATGGTAACAGTGAAAAAGACTGTTTGGATATGTGGAACGAGGCTCTACAAACGGTTACCCCAGACATGTGGAAAAATAGTGTTCGACATACTGAGCAAGAAATTTTTAAATGGTATGAAAGAGAACGAATTTTTGATCGACCAGACATCGAACCTTTAATAATCAACTTTGAGAGTGATGAAGATTCAGATTCAGACAGCGCTGAAGAAAGAAACTCCGACTAACTTTATTGTACAGAAAAAGCTTACACCAGTAGCTTACCTAATTTTAGAATGCATTTTTCTGTATGAATTCTGTAAAATAAATACCATGCATAAAATTTGGAGGACCCCATTTGGATTTTTATTCAGTACCTTTAAGCTATCAATTAAATATGGTAGTTTCATAGTGTCATCTGATCAATAATTGTCATACTTAATGATTATGCAAGTACAGATCTATAATTTTATTATACTATTATTTTTGTTCTCATTTGAGGTTAATATTTTACATAAAGTTTGGCAACAATGTAAATTTTTCAACACACCCACCTTGATGACGTGCACGCCACTTTGTTTGGCGTTGACTATACTTTAGTAGCTGATCAAATGATGTGTTATTGAAAAATTCTGAAAAGGTAGTACCATTAAGGCCCAGTTTTTCAAATGTCATGGTGTTTTTTTTGATGTCATTTTTATTCTAAACTGGTTTAACTTTAACCAGAAGAGGATTCTGGTTAACTAGAAAGTAGTAGTCACACCACATTGCCTATCCCTTTTTCCTTGATAGTGACATATGTTGTCGTGAAATATGATAGTTGAGAAGTGTGTGTGTTGCCAGATCAGCAGTTATTTGTTAGTTAACCACGAAATTGAATGAATTTGTTACTGGTCTGATGTTTCAAACTTAGAAAACCAATTTTGCAGGTCGAAGAAAAGAACCAGAACCAAACAGTAATCTTCCCAGTCTCTGAATACAATCAAAATTTTAACTACAACACTGCTTCAACAGCTATATATACCCAACCGACAGTAGTAAACACAGTCACCAACACTAGTGTGGTGTGCAGCACCCAAACTACGACTGTAGACAACAGTATTTTGAGCATGAACCTCAACGAAGGCAATCAGCCTGAGTACACAAATCTTGTGACTGCTGTAGCGCCAACTAGTAATGAAGAGCCAAAACCAAACCCAAACATTACCAATCAAACGCAGAACAAAAGTCATGTGTGTGACATCTGTCTAAAGACGTTCAAACGACGAGAACATCTCGGACAACACATCAAGTTACATACAGGCTTCCGGCCGTATATCTGCGAGCAGTGTAACAAGGCATTTATGAGGAAGGAGCATTTGGTATGTATAACACCAACTCTAAATTGCGAATAGTATACCATATATCGGTATCTTTAAATAGCTCAACTTTTTGACGACCAATTTTTCTCTGAGACAGAGGCGGAGTGGGATGGTAGCAGAGGGCAGATGAGGCACAGTGTTGCCACGCTTCACATAGTTGTTTTCTTATATCGGGAATTCGGAAAGCGATGAATTTTTGTTCATTGCAGATAATTAGAATAGTGTCAGCCATGGTCTGTCGCATTATTAAGTGGCTTTTGTTTGTTAATGCACTTGTCCAAGTTCAACGGTCTAATTTTTTCAAAATAATCTCTTAAATGTAGGTGATGTTTGACGAGATGGATGTGAAAAATGGGAGAAAACATTTCGGTAAATATGAAGAATGTGTACTAAAATGCTACATCGCGGATGCCTACATTTAGTGTTCACTGGATTTAAATGCAAACAATCTGTATTTCATATAAATTGTTACAAGTGATGACTTTGGCTTATACAGCATTAAGTTGAGCGAATTTTAAACACTTTCACTATGACATAGATTTAGATCATGTAAACTAAACTAATAGAAAATAAAAATATTGTTCCTCGGTGCATTCATAATAATATGTGTGTATCTTTAAATGAGATTCGAAAACGTTAAGGATTGGGAGCGTAAAATAAGACCTTTTTTAACCTACTGCTATTACTATTATGGGATTTTGGAGGGCGGATTTGATTTCGTGGTCTTGGCCGGGGGCTGGGATGATCTGTGTTTGTCAAAATCTATTTGGCTTGATGTGCCTGATATGGGCATGTTGCCACACTGTCCTTTTATGGCATCTCCCTCAGCATTTCATCTGGGATACAGTAGGGAAACTCCCCAGCTCTTTTAAGTATCGTTTTAAGGCAGGTCTTTATTTAAGAATGCCACTTTTACTTGTGTGAGTCTGTATGCTAGTACTGGATAGATGAACGTTACAATTAATTTCATTTTGACTTTCGTAGAAACATTCAAGCTAAAGCCAATTATTTGGTGGAGGGAGGGTATATGCTGCTCAGTCAGCTCTAATAATGCTTTCTTTAATGTTTATCGAGCTATTTTTTGTCTCTTGGCATAAGTTTTCATTTTGTTTTGTTTCCAAAAAGTTGCGTTTCTGTTTTGTTCCTTGTTTTTGTTTTGTTGATTTGATGTGGATCCGGCATAAGGATATATCTTCAACGCTATAAATAATATCAGTAAGTAATCATCAACATACATTTTCCAATCATTGTATGACAACCCCGTTTCACCCGACCGTTCCAATGATTCAGACTTGATCTGACATATCTCCACAGAAAGTAATCCATAGGTGTAAGATTACACGATCGTGGAGGCGAAATTAACGATTGGCCTATATTTATTTCAAAATGATTTCTGCGAAAATGTTCCACCATGAGTGACTTTTTTTTCCCATAATTGAACAGAATAAGTGGATGGATTGTGGATTTAGCAACTACCCGCCAAACATCGTGCAACCACAATCAACTTATTGGTCAACTCTCAAATCCCATTTGCTTAGACTCCCTTCTTTTTGAACATATTAAATCTTCCCAATCAGGTGCGTCATAGTACTTTACACTCCGGCCAAAAGAACTACACCTGCAACATTTGCGAGAAGAGCTTCTCGCGAAACGATAATCTTTTGAAGCACAAGAAAACGCACGAGAAGCAGGCGAGTTACACGTGCGAGATCTGTCAGAAGCAGTTCGTGATGAAGCACTATTACAACGCTCATATGGTGGTGCATGGTGACAAGTGCTACGTGCCGAGTAACAACTGGGGTTTGCTGAAGACGTAGTAAAATCTTTGTCAAAGGGGATGTTGTGATTTGTAGTATGTCGCTGTCCAATTTTAAAATCATTTGGAATTTTCATGTCTATTACCATTGCAAGGTTCTGAAATACGTGGATTGTAAATTCCCATCCAAATCAAAGATAGAGTGGATGTAAACACAGTTGTGTACTACGCTTGTGATACTCGAGGTGATTCAACAATATCATGTTTGCAAAGTCTGTACTAGATCACCTGAGCTCACCCTGTATTAGTCTTCTGTGGCTACCGTAGCGCTCCGGCGTACCAAGCGATCAGTTTCAAAGGAGGAGAATTTGTAAGGCCGATTATCGGCCTAATATAATTTTGATCAAAAAATAAAATGCTTAGTTTCTATGCCAAAACTGGCAAGGAAGTATTGTAATCGCGACACAGTTTGAAATTGATACATTATGTTTTTTGTATGTTATATGGCATGTACATCACGGAAAACCATGTCACTCATATCCGTCGGCCTGTCCGCAAATTTTATAACTCGAGAAGTACCGCTCAGATTTTAATTAAATTTTCACAAGGATACTACTATGCCGAAGGCTTTGTATTTTTTGAAAATCGGTCTAATGGTGGCCGAGCTAGGGGCACCATAACAAAAAAAACTTAATAAACACGCTTAATCTTCGTTTTTTGACGTTTCTGATGCTCCAGCTTATTTTCGGAATTTTTTTGTTGTGGTTGAAACTTGGGGGTCGAGGGTTGCACGGGTTAGAGGGTTGAGAATGTAACGTCTTTAGTGTTAGTCAAAGACAAATGCCAACTGGTCTGCGATGGTGTCGTCACTGACACACTGCTACAGGAGAAATATATATTTTAGCAATATATACCACCAATTTCGCCTAACTTTTAATTTGTGTTACTCCTACGATTGTTCTCTGAATATGTCTTCAAGTAGATTGACTCATTAGCATGAATCATTGATATACAACACAGATACGAACTGACAAACCTATGTAAATGAGATACAGGAACTTGCGTGATGCAGACATCTTTAAGCAATAGAAAAATTGTGAACCGAAGTTCGAATATTATCGCGAGTTTCGTTTAGGTAGTCATAGATTTGATTCAGAGGTGGCGGTAATGAAATCGCTGGAACATAGTGTTACGTTTCAGAGATTTTCAGACATTGTTTGGAGGAGCTGAAAATTGTAGGTTGGAAGCTGTATACAGCAAATGGTTGTAAATTGTTGCATATTTGAAATACTTTCTATTATTTTCTCTTCATCCATGGAAACAAATATGATGGATTAGCTTTATACAGTTTGATATGCAGAGGTTGAAGATTCGTCGTACCTAAGTCAACCTACCTAATCACCATTCTATTTCGGCATTTGAAACGATTTGACTCGTCGCTTTCCTTTGAAACCCCCAACGAAGAAGTAGGAAGTATAGAGTCAATCTACTTGACGGCGTTTTTTATTCATGTTTAACTACAACTAAACGATTTAACTACAAACGGCGCTTATAGGAACTCCTCCTGGTCAAGGTCAGTTTTAGGTGAAATGTTACCGAATAAGCAACTACGTATCTGGCACGCTTGTGCGTTTTTGGGGTAGCTGTGTTCGAATCTGATGACAGTTTGTCCGTATTAGGTCATTTGGAGGTCGTTTTAAGGTCGCACTGCAATGCTTTCTCAGTCCGCCCTTGGATCTTCCAATGCTTTTTAGACCCCACATTACCCGCTATCAGCTTTAGCGCATTTCAAATGTCCTGATGCGGACAAACTGACCTTAGATTTGGATTCAGCGAGCCCAAAAACCTATAAGCATGATAGTCAAGTGCCAGATACCTGGTTGCTTACTCATAAACTTCGAAATTTCACTCAAAACTGATCTTGAATTGACCCTCACTCCAGCCAGGAGGGGGTTTCTATAAGTGGTGATTGTAGACATATCGTCTATTTGTTTTGTACGCATAAAAATGGATTTTACTTTTTTGATCAAAATAATATTTGGCTGAACACCAGCCTTATGGACCCTCCTCCTTTACCAACGAGGTGTGCCATATCCATCTGTTGCTGAGCGATCAGGTGAACATTTTTGTTATGGTTTACTTTATTTTGGTTTTGGAGCGAGTTTTGTAGATTGTATCAAGTATTTCGTCTCCTCCCTGTAAATACGTACAAACCAAAAGGGGAGCAAATTTTTGTTTTACAGTATACATTTTTTGGTATATTGATCATATAGATTTCATAATGGGACTGCGACATAGGTACTGTACCAGGTTGTGATTATTATAAGTTATTTATTTAATTTATTGAAACCACTCGTATTTTAACATTGCAATCTCCTTGTATAAAATGCTGACAGCTTTCTTGAATATAGACAGCTTTGAATTTATTTTTCTTGAACAAGTTTTTCCTTCGAGGATGATTTTTTGTGAAGAAACTTGTATGTTGCAAGATTATTATCTAGTATGTGCTATTGATGGCGAGCGACCATATATTTTTTGCTTTTAGGGTTTTGTTTGATGCCTTTTCAGCAGCTGATAGATTGTCATAAACATGCTGAAGATGTCGCTGAAATGTCGATCTACCAGCGTGTATAAAGGTGTCAAACCTAACGGGTGCGAGTATGGAAATCGGTCAAAATGATGGGTGATTTTCTTACTTCGTATAAAAACTAAGCTTTTCTAATTTCTGAATATATTTTTGTTCTATATTTCTACCAAAAATTGCCAAAACACTTTCGTGACATGTCTTCTTAACATTTCCTTTTCTTCCAATATGTTAGAGCGAGATATGGTGTACCTGTGTTATAATTTTGTCTTTATAAACGCATGCAGTATTTTTTTGAATGCGTGTGAATGTTATTGCATAGTTCAAACATTATTATGTTGTAATTTTTCTTGTGTTATGTGTTTATACATTTATGTAAGCGTAGAATCTATTGATTCAAACTTAATTCGTTTGTGACTTCAACCTGGTATCAGTTGAGAACGTGAATGTTTATCTTTAAAGTAGTACAAATCGATTATCAAAACTATTTATATATTTTTTTCCTACTATGATAGAATATGTATAGCTAATATATGGTTTGACTGAATTTATTCATATATCAAATAGGATACATCGTGTCTATTATATATACAAAGTATACACTTTTTGATTTTTTTTTCGATATAGAAAATTGTATCAGGATCTGCTGATGTAAAAACATAGACTTTGCTGAATTGACTCGCTATATTGATGTGTTATACGTCTTTACTTAATTAGAATATGTACTGATGCTGAAAATTACAAAATCCTCATTTTCTGGAATTTGTATGAATGTCTGACAGCTGTCATGAATGAACAATGTCAATGTCCAACTTTAGTACAAACATGGAAACTCGAAAGTTCACGTGACGCACAGTTACTAGTGCGATATCACATTGCTGAACTCCGTACTTTCGATTTGTCGTATCCATACAATAGAATAATTATTTATTGTGGAAATTCTCTTGATTGACGATTCGGCCATCTCGGTTGCGGTTTTCAAAGTGCCGGTCAAAATGTCAATAATATTCTATATTGACATGTCTTTAAAGTAACAATTCATTTGTTTTTTCTTTTCTTCGCTACTATACAGTATGTTGCTAGATTAACCCGAACGGTCCTGTACCTCACAGAGATCGCGCGAAGCCATTATTACCATTTTAAAATGGCGCCACGTAAAAATCAGTAAAGCCTAGGACCGCCTGGGTTAGGCATTCCCGCTTCCAAAAGGTTGTCTAGCCCCTCAAGCGACAAGCGAGCACGAGGTTATCTGTTGTTTTTTACGTACAAGACGCGTCGCCCTTGTTCATCTCTAAGAAAAGGATGCGAAAACTACCCAGAACTGTTGTCGCTTATCACTTTGGAGTGGCTGAACGTCTTTATTTTGGGAATGAACTATGGTAAACAATAATATCCACTTATGTAGTTTCTTTTAGCGGCCAGACAAACATAGACCTAGAGAATCTATATACACACCTGATATATTTCTTCGATTTTCCTTGGCATGCTGGAGTGAAATTTGGCTTTTGATTTTTTAATATCAGTACATAATTGTTCATGGGCGGGGTTAGATTAGATTCGTTAGGAGAAGATACATTTTGCAAGATATTGAAACTAAACGTAATAATGTTTATTGTATAAGGATACTGCGTAAAGTCACATAGTCACAACATAATTCTTATTTTAATGTCTTCCATTTTTTTTATGGAAATGTAGTTATTTTTGCTCTTAACATTCGTGGCTGCCCTTTAACTCCGCCTATGACTATCGGTCTATTATTATCTCTATTGCAGGAGGGAATTATCTTCCTGCTGTATGTGATTTGCTATGTTGATAAGTGTATGACAACCAAATTATCCAGTTTGGTAAACTCTACCGTAACTTTTCTAGTCTTTTTAGTTTGTAGGTATTTATTTTTCAAATAAAAGTATTATCAATTATCATTGAGTTTCATTTATCAAAAATGACGAATCCATTATTTGCTTCTTGCTATGGGTGCCGTCTCATGTCTTGCATTTCAACCGGTTCCTAAAACAAAGTTTTTTTGTTTTGAATCATGGCAGTCGAGGATTTTCGATCCGTGACTTTATAATGTAATCGACGAAAAAATCGTGAATTATCATGGGGCTTCAGTGTTAGTTATTCTGTGTTGGGGCCGGGGAATACATAATTTGAATGACACAGAAAACAAAGCATGGGATCTTAACCAAAATGTAGAAAATGAAAAGAAAATTGATCAATCACTAGAGAAATCTTCAAAATCAATAGATTTATGGAAAATGAACCTCTCTGTATTATGGAAAATATGCCTAAAGCAAGATCCCACTTATCTGGGAGCGATAGCGTGTCACGTGCCAAAATCACGTAACCTTTTCTTTAATATTTTGATCAATTACCAGTAATTTGAATTTCTCTTTATTGACTATAGAGTACCGATTCCTAGGCATAACCCTTTTTATCGATTTTCTTTTGGTGAATTTCATAGTTTATTGATTTTATAATTTCACACGTATTATATCTTTCTTTCTCGGCGATTCAGTATTGTGTTGAAATCTTTTGGACACTAATGTTATAGTATTATTAACGACTATCTCAGAGATTTCCTCTTAAAATATCGTTGGTCCCTCGTAGAAGTGGTTCCACCCATTGGCAACCAGCGCCACTTAGTGATTTCTTTACCTACCAGCCGGATAGAGATGTTTGATCCTATCAAGATAGCTTCTTTTAAAACTTGATTTCCTATCAAGATACCTTTTCTCCTAACAAGATACCTTTTTTAAAAATTTGCGTGTTCAGACGAGTCCAGCGCCATTTTTCTTTTCTTTCTGCTGAGGTTTAGTTGTGCGTGAGTCGCTTCGTTAGGTTCCAGATTCTGGGATTTAGACCCTCAACTACCAGATTATGGAGTAGCATCTTTTATTTGGTACCTTTCGTTTAGTTGTTTTGGTTTGGGTGCTACCCCGTCCATTTTCTAATGGGATTTTAACCTTCAGTGGTAAGTTCTCTTTTGTATACTATCGGACCATGTCCATTAATGCATGTCCTGAAAAAGTTTGTGCATTATCTGCTTCCTCTTAGTGGAAAGGCATTGCAGAGAACCACCATTCACACCCCTCCAGCTTTATTTTGTAGCTGCCTTGTAACTGTTTCTCAGTCAATTATGCTGGACGCCACCCCCTCCCCTTGACAAAAAACTCTGATGTAAACAGGTAAAATACCATTTTAATTTGGTATTATATTCATATTAATTATTGCTGACTGAAATTCTTAGAGTGTTCGCGATTTTGTTTGGCATTTTACGTATTATGTCACCTTCTTTTGAGCTTATTATACAGTATTACAATGATCATGATTTTGATTTTTGAGTTGCCTTTATTTTAGAACAAGGAATGACTTTGTGAGAGTAATATCACTAGTACATTTTTATCTTTTCTTGCCCTTGCTTTACTTGTCTTGTAAAAGATAATGTAGAGGTTTTTCTTCAAGTTTTGAGTGTTTAATATGAGTAGTTTTGTCTCAGACAGAGAGTAGAGAGTAGAATTTTAAGCAATCTTTCTCTCTATAGAGTTTTTTTATACCGTAAATTTTGGAAAACGAGGCAGGCAGCTCCTACTTTGTGACGTTAAATCACTTCTGCTCACTGCTGGCCACTGGTTTTTGACCTGAGCGTTTGTGAGCTGAGGACAAGAGTCGTAACTGGAAGAAGACCATTATCCAGATAAGTTTAGGTTTAGGCGTTAAGATATTTGTAAAGCCTTCGTACGTGTACCGTGGTAAACGATTTGCAGGATAATTATCACGGTCTAATAATTGTATTGTCAGGAAGTTTTGAATAATATCGTTCCTTTTAATTTGCACTTCAGTGTTGGAGCATATGTACTGCTTGTTTTGACAATATATTGTGAATTTTTTAATATTATATCCTTTGTTTTTTTTTCGGATAAATTAGATGCCCTTATAATATTACTTATGATAAAATTTGTAAATTGTTGTGTTACATTCATTCTGCTCCAAAAGAACAATTCTCGCTAGAATTTTCATGAACCTAAAATTGAAAGATAAGGGACACTGTATTTCAAAAGGGCAAAGCGTGAAATTATTATACGGCGTGTTTTTAAATTAAGTCAAAAGTTTTTTTTCACCACTGTAGAAAAACGTATTCACGGGATAAAAAACAGATAAAAAAATAAATTCTAAAGAATAAGTGGTTCTTGAGTGACTCAAGGTTGGGGCAATGAAATATAATTTGGATTATAGCTGTATAACAAACCAACCCGTGGCGACAATCAAGAAACAAATACTATATACAAATTAAAGCCAATGTGTGTACCTGCCGCAAAAATTAATACAAAAAAGTTATGATCTTTCGAATTTGATCAAAATTTGATTGTTGGGTTTATTTTATACCGGAGTGTAAAATCGATTATGATTAAGGAAATAGATTATTGAACCTTGATAGTCGATTAAAATGAGATAATAGATTAATTATTATGAATGATATGTTGAAACTTATCCTATGGTTTTCGTGTCGATAATCCCCCATATTTCTCTGGATTGGTTTTCGCATTTTTTGGGGTATTTTGGTGTCTTCAAGACGATGGACGAAGGTGGTACTAGCACATTTACGACAGATAACCACATGAAAACCACAGAGGATAAGCTTTAAATGTTATTATGACACATATCTGTCAGCAACCAGCCTGACACATATCATTCTTCTCCGCGGCATGACATAGATTTCACCGTCTTACATTTTTTTTTACATTTTTCGTTATACCTTTTGTTTGGCAATATGAGTAAAGCCACCGCAGAGCTCCAGGCTACTCTGGGGGTGCCTGAAAAGAAAGATAAAAGAAAAAATGTCAAGGCAGCTTTTGGCCTGCACCTGGATCTGCTTATGGACTCCATGGAAGAGACCAGATTCCGTAAGAAACACATGACTCTCGTTGAAAACTTAGCCACCGAGACTCATTTCACCGTTGGAGAAGTCGACAGTCTGCTTCTGATCTATTACAAAATGTCCAAGGAAAACGTCATTAGTAGCAGGATCAAGCAAGGGAATCAAGTAATGATGGTGACCAAAGAGCAGTTTAGGGATTTTCTGCACAGCGCTTTGGATATGACTGATGATTCTTTGATGGACAGGATATTCTTGTCGCTAGATCGAATGCCCGGAAAGACCATTACAATGGAGACTTACATACATTCATTGTCTTTATTTCTGAGGGGAACGTTGGAAGAAAAAATCAATCATTGTTTCAATGTAAGTTTATCGGCAACATTTTACTTCCTATGCCAAAACTGGCGAGGAAGTGCTGTAATCGCGATAAATTTCGAAATTGAGATATTATGCTTTTTGGATGCATATATATGCATGTACATCACAAAAAACCATGTCACTCATTTCCATCGGCCTGTGTCTGTCTGTCGGTCTGTTCGCTATTCTGTAACCGCTTATAACTTGAGAAGTACTACTCGGATTTTGAAGATATTTTCTCACAAGGTTACTACTGTGCAAATGATGAAACAGCTTTGAAGTTTTTGAAAATCGTTCTAGATGTGGCGGAGCTAGGGACAAAAACACGACACACGCCTAACCTTTAATTTGTGTAACACCGTATATGATCGTTCCCTGAATATTTCTTCAAGTGGATTGACTCAGTAATATGACGCACTGATATACAAATACAACAGCCACGGACTGACAAACCGACATGAATGAGAAACATGAACTTGTGTGATGGAGACATCTTTAAGCAAGAGAAAACTTCTAAAGTTCGAATATTACCGCGAGTTTCGTTTAGGTAGTCACAGATTTTGAAAACTGATTTAGAGGCGGCTGTAATATTCATTTCCAGTCATTGTTTGGAGGGGATGAACATTGTAGGTTGGAAGCTGTATGCGGCAAATGGTTGTAAATTGTTGCATATTTGGTGTCAGTGTTAGACATAATAGTTCACATATATTTGCGATACGTCTGCTATGTAAACGGAAATATCATAAATCATTCTTTTAAACCTCCTTCGAAGGCGCACGAAGTAAAAGGTTGTGGGGAGTAGTATACGTCTATAGAGAGGGGCGGATACAGGGTTTACTTAATAATACGCCGTAATTACAAGGACACATTACCGAGTCAAATTCAAGTAGTAAAGTTTACATAAACATGCGTCCTAAAAAGTCTGGTTTCCAAGGTACAGGGTGTCAAAGTTTACAAAAACGTTTGGTTTTTTATTAATATCTCTTTTCTAGGTTTTTTCTGGCGGTTTATCATCTATACTCAGTGACAAAGTCAATAGAACACCCAGTGAAAATGATTTGACTTGATGATGAAATGAAATTTGATATAAATATTAGACATAAATAATAGAGAATTCTTATTTAATTTTGCCCGATGCGGTATACTTGCATTCACTTGTCGGAGCATGCTTTTGTGGAGGTGATTTATGTCTTTCTGAGGTACATACTCCATCTCAAGCTAGAATTGATTTATTAAAAAATTATCGAAAGAAGTAGAGTGAGTAACAATTTTCCCTTTTATTTATATCATGCAAAACTCTTTTATGGCGGGTGCATATTTACCCACTGAAGCAAAGCTTCTGACAGCAAATGCTCTTGTGAAAGTTGAAGAGCGGGCTGTGGGATACGTCTAAGGAGAGGCGTACGTCTCACGATTCAGGTATAGCAAGATAATTTTGGTACCAAAATACAGCAATATATACCATATTCTTGAAAAATAGAATTGCATCCTTTGGCGTCCTAAGGGGTGCGCGTTCTCCTCGCCCGTCTATAAATCCGCCCGTGCTTGTTTTGAAGGATAGACTCCCAGGGGCATCAAAGAGCACGTGGTATTTATATGATTCCTCCTGAACGTATTTTTTTACCTAGGTATACGATTCAATGGGAGATGGAGTACTAGCCAGAGAAGCAATGTTCTACCTGTTGAAAAGCTCCCTTATAAGCATGAGTGGCGAGGATGATGCAGAAGAATCAGTTAGAGTGAGAATTACCTTTTATACTTCAATCACCTCGAATACCTAGATTATCGTGGGCTCTATAGGAGGATATAGTCGACGGCAGAGCTGTTCTGTCTGTGTTTACAGGGTGTCCCAAAATTCGACGTCAAGCCGGAAATGGAGGATAGGCCAAGTCATAATAGTTATCAGAAAAATATGAAAAAATCCAAGGCTTTGAAAAAAATCAAAAATTTGTATGATCTTTTAGTTCTGATTAATACAAATTCAATTTTTTCTCAGACTGAGTGACAGACTGTGCCATTCTACGTAGTGACAGCAAGACATATACTAACGCCACCTTTCATTGATTCATGATTGTGTGCTACTACCATCGACTTTGAAACAAGGATAGACCCAGCAAGTCATTCATAAAACTACATTAGATTCGTTGACGACATAAACAAAGCACAAAGTGGCGGCGAGGGGCTATGAGGGAATGAGAGGGGAACAATAAAATGGCCGCCGCATGAGAATTCAGGTTGTGAAACCTCACGTCACTGAAGACTCTATGTATAATCATTGGTACAATTACACATAGGCGCAGCATACAATACGTATAAGGGTGACAAAATAAGCGTATTTAAATCAAGAGCATCACAAAAAAAAAACGGTACGAAGTTGTGTACTAACAAATATATTACTCATATTTGTGCAATATCTAGTTCAATTGGAATACTTACGTGAACTCTATTGAGTGGGCAGGATACAAAAGCCTTTAAAATAGAAACTCCAAGTTATTATGTTCTATTTTTATTCATACATATAAATATATATATATTGCAAAATGTAACAAATCAGGGAACATGGAATGATTATCGAGACCCCAAATAAGTTTTAATATAATCACATAGCTCATTTTCATATCTTCATTCATAAAAATACACTAAGTATCAGCTGAAATGTATATATCGAGCAGTTTATCACTTTTGATATAATTTTTATGTGTTACTATGAAAACATATTGGGTACACACATATTAAATAGACATATAATAATTATAACCAAAATAGTAGCAGTCATATAAGAACAAAGTTTTGAATATAAGACAAACCTAGGCTATCTAAAAACTAAATCAAACGTTATTAATCCTCTTACCACCTATTAAACTGTAAACCAATCATTCTGTATGTTGCAGTATTATGTATTACAGGATATAGAATAAGTGATAAACTTCTCTCACCTCTTTCTTTTTTTCTTATCAAGCATATGTTCTTGTACTCCAGCAGTTTTAGCAGCACTATCACTTTCTGATGCTGATAATGTTGAGGAAGTATGGACATATTGCCTACAAAGAAGAAAATTAATTCCTATGTAACAGTATAAAAGCACAAATGTTTAATAAGCCTTACTCTTCATTTGATGAGACAGGAAAGTTATACATCTCTTCATCCATGAATAACCTGTAAACAACAAATAAATAAGTGCTATGAAAAGAATACTGCTGATTAGGACTGATCAAACATTTAGTAAGGGTTATATTAAGGCATATATCAAACTGAATGAGTTTCAACTTCATCATCTTTTTTATGGTACAGATTGAGGTAAGCTCTATTTAAATCATTACAAAACCCTAGATAATTTCCTGAATACCTTCTTGTTGTACTTGAACCTACAATGGTGGTATTTTTTCCATCTACGATATCAATTCAGCAAATATAAAATGCTTCCATATGGATGTAGGACTTCAGAAATGTTCAATTTCATAGAAATTTCAATATACTACAAAATAACATGATAGAGAATATAAATTAAACTTACCTTTTTTTAGCACGAGTCCCCTCACAAGTGATTGAAATGGCAGATATATACACAATCTGAGTCTTCTTGCTTCTCTGGACTTACAGATGATTCTGAACTAGAATAAAGCATATATATATATACAAAACCAAATTAGGGACTTCTACATAGTGAGATACTAATGCATAGAAATACTTCATGAAATTAAACACTAAATAATAGTATGAGTTATAAAAATCAATGCACATATATAAAAAATACACAAAAAATCAAAAGGAAGTATAGTTTTAACCAAAGTTTGAGCAACTCAGTTTAATGCATTGTGATTTAAACAAACCAAATCAATCAAATGTACTGTCACTGTTTTCATAGCAATGTAATGTAAGATATAAGCATCATCTTCATTTCAGCTCATAAGATGCAGATATTATGTTAGCTCTTCTTGATTGCTGATAGATTATAGAGTATGTCTTATATCTGTCTATTATCTGTGAAATTGCCAAAATATAACACTAATTATAGCTAAATTTACCTAAATCCATAACAGTTAAGTTAGGAAATACCTAGATCAGAAACATCTTATATGAAAAGTTAAACAGCAGATAGAATCAGAATCAAAATGAGTGGTTGTTAAATATTATTAAATACAACTATTCTTTTTTGTTTACTGTATAGAAAAACTAGTCTATTATGTATTAAGAGTTTACCTGGTGCTTACTGCAGGATCAAACAAAGAATGAGAGATGAGAGGAATCGCATCCCGCTTGAGTGTCTTTTGTCCCTCACTTCCATAAACAAACGCATTTTCTCCAAAATGCTTGGAACATAGCTCCACCCTCTTAGGAAATTGATGGTTTTCCTCGAATCCAAGGGCCGACAACCACCTTTTTCTCCTTTCCGGGTTCTTGGGAAGGCTAGAATTTCGAATATTAGTTATAAATCGAAAGCTATCAACAAGTTTCTCGATAATGAGACGCCATGATACGCCTCTGAACATAAACAAGATGTATACTTACGAATGAAATTTTAAAGATTCCGCTCCGGCCTGATGTTTATAAATTTTACACAAATAGCACTGCTGCACCATTTTATTGCGATTGAATATACCTTTATAGTCTCTCTAAAATGAATAAAAGCAGCAAGGAAATTCACTATCAAAACAAACTTTGACAATTGACACAAAATGACAGTTGTTTAGTAACTTAAATAAGTGCTACCAATATACTATTTTCTTACGATGTGGATAAATAATGAATGAGCAGATAAAAGCAACGTTGCCAGATCTTCAAGTCGATTATGGTATAATTTATGTAAGGTTCTTACTTGTTTGACTATTTTGATATCAATCCATTGTACGAGAATCATGATGTTTAGTACCCACACATGCGCTGAAAAATCACCATAAACAGGGAGTAATTTTAGTTACTGGAGGTTTGAAAATGTGTAGAACGACCACGAACAAATCCGTTGTTTTGCTGCCGTTTCTTGTGGCGAGGCAACGTGTCGATTCGCTTTGTATATGTCGTCAACAACCAGAAATGTAAGCAAAGGGGTCTATCCTCGTTTTAAAGTCGATGGCTACTACCATGTCTGTGTACAAAGTACAGGAATACTCCAAGAAGCAACATCGGGAATGTAGATGCAATGGTAGGCTTCATCGTGAGAGGTACCCATATGCTGCTCGTCAACCCGATGACTGAGTTTTTTTTGTGAATGTGCACCATTTAGAAGACCGAGTACTTCAATATGCCCGTTCAGTTGGAGAATATCCTGATGCGGAATATCTGAGCAGATAAATTCGTGGCCATCCGGATCACCCGACTTAAATCCAAATCCACTCTACACTACCAGGGAGCGGTGAAAGAAAAGGTTTACTCAAAGCAAATCTAAAATTTAGCTGTGCTACGGGACAGCTCAATTTACTAATGATGGAAGACTCGCCTACCTGATAACCCGATCATTTTTAACATGTCAAGCTTGCATTGATGCTGTTTGAACATTTATTGTGAATTTAATAAATTAATACATTCACTAATTAATAAAAGTAGCGTTACTATTTGTCTTGCTGTCACTACGTAGAATGACACTGTCCGTCACTCCGTCTAAGAAAAAATTGAAATTTGTAGCGTTGTAGTGACCGTTCTTGGCAGGTCAAAGTATCAGTACCAGTATCCCTTTATACAGGGTGACTTCGAAGTTGAGTCATTTATTTTAACAGTGAGTAGATCTGATCAAAAGAAATGTTTTTTTCCTTTACCATTTTCCTGGTAAAATTAAAGTAACAAAGTTATAGCCCTTTGGAAGTTTGAGTACCGCCCTGTCTCAATAACAATATTATGTGGTCGTGTTTGGCGACAACGGATATAATCCGCCGTATCGGTTCATCGCATCGGAAACAAAAAAGCGAAAGAATTTGGAACGATGTTTTTACAAGTATCTCATTCATTTGTATACAATCAGTGTCAGTGAATGTTGGTATCTGTTGCGTGGCTCAAACGAAATAAAAAATGGCACATGTTTATGCGGATCGGTTTCCCAATCGAGTGCAACCAACCCCTCGTGCCTTTGTTAATGTAGTACAACGGGCTCGTGAATCAGGTGACTTAAGACCTCAGAGGGGACCTCACGATCAAATACAGGTCCGCACTGAAATACTTGTCGGGAGGATACTTTATAAAACAAGGTAAAATTTTTTTTTTATTTTTACACACATATTTTGGTTTATCTTCCTTCTACAATCATTATCTGAAAATTAATGACTCAACTTCAAAGTCACCCTGTATATCTCCATCTCCCTCATACATACGCATGCAACCCACCCCTGTGTGTGAACGTTTGTTCGGTAAGCTCAAAGACATACGTTTTTCAGTTGTGTATCTTCGTCTCGAAAACTTTGTCCTAACATATGAGTGCCCTTCAATCATGTTTGTCAGAGCAACAACTTATTTGACATCGGCGTGCAATTCGAGTTATCCTATTGTCAATCTTCAATATAAAATTGTACAATGCCCAGAAATACGATCAATGGAGAAGGCCGTCAGCTCGTGCTAAATTTACTAGAGTATTTCCAGGAAGAGAATGAAATCAGCGGTCTCCTGCGTTCTAGAGAGAGTACCAGGTGCGCTGGAGATTAGTCTGGTACGGAGACTCGATCTGTTTACTTATTTTTGATATTTCGTTGATGATGTAACTGCCAAGAACGGTGACTACAACTATAGTAATGGGAACTTAATGATCGTCAAGGCGTGTAGACTCTTCCGATTTCTCTTTAAAGACTATAATTTGAAAAGTACTTGACTTTTTTTATATTTTTCTGATAATTATCATGACCTGACCTATCCCCCGTTTCTGACTTGCCGTCAACTTCTGGGATACCGTGTTAGGGATACCTTTGATATTTCTTTTCTTCCTACAAGGATATGATTGAGGTGATAACGAAGAAGATCGATCTCGACAGAGATGGAAAAATCTCGTTCCAGGACTATAAGCAAACGGTGCTGAAGCATCCTATGCTGCTAGAGGTATTTGGACAATGCTTGCCAGGTCGGAGAGCCATCTATACGTTCTCTTCAACATTCTTACCGAATACCGCACTTAAAATGTAACACGTAAGTCGTACTATTAAATACTCGTAATACACATAGTGAAGTAGTTTCATTTTTACTTCCCATGCCTACTGCCTTGAAAATCAGATACGAGCCCCTTCCCACTTCAGTTGGCCCAACTATTGAAATCTTAGTTTTTTTCTTATCAAACACAAATAATAAAAATGTAGCAGGGTGTTATAGGTTTAAAATATTAACAATGAATATTTTGATAATATATAGTAGAAAACACCAACTTTATCACTCCCTAATCAAATTTGCAGCATAAAAATAACACATGTTGCAATTACAGCATAAAGTGGGTACCAAATAAAATCCGATGCACGTCATAGGTGATGTCATTCATAAAAATCATGGTTACCAACAGTTGACTACATTCAATGTGACATTTCTACTTGAAGTTTAAATTTCCCCGTCTCGATTCGGTTGGTAGTGCCGTGCAGAGAAATGTGAGGTTGCCACTTCTCATTTGTTGACATCAGTTGCCATTGTCCTTTTGTCGTACTATTAGTTCTTTATTGTTTAGTTTGTGAGTTTTGCGCTATTTGAGCTTTGAATCGTTGCCTTGCCCAATAAAAATTGTTCTTTTCAGATCAACAGTTACTGCGAAGTGGTGTAAAGTATCCAAAATGCCAAAACAACTTAACAGTCGGTGTAAAGAGCTCATATCATTGAATATCTACCAAAATCAGGTGTTTTTATTCAGAAGGGAATTTAATTTTACAACAAGTTTATTTATTTTTTAATATAATGGTATTATCGTATATATAAACAATCTATTTTATTAAATTTATTTGCTTAAAAGAAAATGTGCAAATTCTGGCAACAGCGCACAGCTCCAGATCGATGACGTGCATCGGGTTTTATTTGGTATCCACCATATCAACCTATTTTCATTTCAGTGCAAAATAAGTCTATAACGCATAGGTGGCTGTGAAAAATAAAAGCCATGACAATTGATTTTATTAATCACAGCTGTCAGACTACGTTTAAAACAGTTTTGAGTAGTTAAGGTTTTCAAAATGGGTAGAGGAAAGGTTATTAGTCAGAAAATTCGGTTACTGATAATTAAATTTTTTAATTCTGGGAAATCAAGCTCAGAAATTGCAACTTTGTTAGACTTATCGTGGCACAGTGTGAGAAATATTGTAGGAAGACATAACGTAACTGGTCCAGTTAATATTAAGCCACGATATGTGGAAAAAAGTAATATCACAAATGTCGACCGAAGAGCATTAAGAAGAATAATCGTGAAAAACAGGCGTGCCAATTATTTACAATTGGAGTGACGCTGTTGGAAGGAGAATTTTGAGGTCCACAACTCATAGAGAGGCCCACAAACTGGGATTTAGCACTTGCAAGGTAAGTTTTCTTATAAAAAAAGTGAAGTAAAAACCCTAAAGTTGCACAACTTGTTTATAGGCCAAAGAAAAGCCACTATTATCTCCACTGCAAAAGAAAAATCGGCTTAGATGGGCTAGACAATGGACACCTCAATAACTGTGTGCAATAGGTACAATGGAGTGATGAGGCCCTATTCGAAGTTTGTGTTGGTGACAGTCGCAGTAGAGTTATTCGCAAAAAAAAATGAAGCATTCCATGTTGACTGACTGAAGAGAAAAGTGACATTTCCAGCATCCATTATGGTCTGGGGTAGTATGTCATCAAAAGGAGTAGGAAAACTTCATTTTATTGATGGAAATGTGGATACAAACAAATATTTGGCAATTTTAGAAGAATCGCTTTTACCAGTGATGGAAGAATGTTTGGCATCCGGCCAAGATTTTGTGTTTCCGCAAGATGGTGCAGCGTGCCATACCTCAAAAAAAGGCTATAAAATGGATGGAAGAAAATAATCTACCACTTTTGAAATGGGTTTCTAGCAGTCCAGATCGGTCACCTATTGAAACTTTGTGGCACGAGATGAAAAAGGTTCTACGACAACATCCTGCTCGTATAATTACCGAACTGAGACAAAAGCTTCAAGAAATATGGGATTGTTTTACACCAAATTTTTGCCAAAGCTTGGTTAACACTATGCCCCAAAGAATTTCAGCCGTAATAAAAAATAAAGGTGATGTTACCCAATGGTAATCTTTCAATTGGTGCTTTATTCGTACAGTGTTTATTTGTTCAGATGTTCTATTAGTTATAAGTCTAAGTGATTTCAAATATGTATTTTTTACGACTAGAGCGTATCTAAAATGTTTTTGAGAAATAAATTGTTTTAGAAGTAAATAGTCTCGTCATGTTTAGTTTATAAAGGCATATTTTGGTACAAATCTTGAAGTGGGCCAACTGAAGTGGGAAGGGGCTCGTATTATGTCTGCCTATAGCCGCCTATGACTTGAGAAGTACCGCTCGAATTTTGATGAAATTTTTACACAATCTTATTACTACGCCAATAATAAGAAATTTTGGTTCCCAGGCGGTGGAGAAAGAGGCCAAAAGCGAAAAGAAAAGTACTTCTTTGTTTTGCGTTTTTTCAAACAACTTCTGAAGGTAAACCATTTGGGATGGAAGCCTTACGGGGATGGGGAGAGTATATCTCAATTTTTTTATGTCAGTATATTTATACGCTCCCAACCTTGGTAACTCTACGCACCTATTAGACATATTACACAGCATATGTTTCTCCCTACATTAGCCCTTAAAACTAAAATATTCTCAGCAGATGGATTCTATACCTACCTGCCATGTGCGTTTCTTCTCCCGGCGGCATGCCACCGGCCTTGGTGAGTGTTCTGGTGTAACACGTAAACCCTATTTCACGAGTATCCATCACGGTAGAATGACAGTTGGTTATCTAGCAATATTTCAAAATTCTCCATGTCCGCAAACGACACATAATTCTGACAGATCCGCCAATGCCAGGTGGGCAGAGCCATATTTTGTTTTGGTTTTTTGTACGATACAGATTCAGTTTGTACTGGCTAAAAGTTCTTTTATTTAGAAAAGTTCATTTGCATACATAAAACAAAACGCTGCAAACATATTTTTGCTAGATTTACACCCGATTTATTATAGCCAACGTTACAGACCAACACAAAAATGTCACTTGCTGATCAGCTGTTGAACATTCGTGAAATAGGGTATATTATCACCGCGTTGACACAACATAGTGTTTCCTATGTTGTGACCGCGCTGCCAGGTCTTATACGGTTAGGTATCGGGGAGAGGCGACACGTTGCCAGATGAACTACCGGTAGGGCAGGGAAAGTATGTCTAAGGAATAATTCTATAGACCTGTTTGCCTGATTTTTTTCTCAGTGGGTCTAGTCTGTGCTGAACATAATCATTTATGAATTGATATCGGCGAAGTGTGGGAAGTGCAGAGTCAACCTACTTGATGCCATTTTTTATACTTGTATGTGGAATATAGAAGTATATACTGCAGCATTCAGTTGTAAGCATCCTTGATTTTTTAATAGAAAAATATTGGATGTGGTGGAGGGGCAGAAAAAACAATAACTTAAAAGATATGCGTTATATTTAACTTTATTAATTTATAATTCTTTTATAAAGATTTATATGAACTGGGTATATCTACCAAACAAAAGCAAACCAGTAACTTTGTTTACCATACTAAATTTAAATTCATAATGTAAATTGGTATGCGTTTGTTCGGAAATATATAGCGATAATAAATGTCCAGCTAAAGGTGTAACAATCTCTACCATTAAAAACAAAAATGTTCAAATGAAAAGCCGTGCGATGTTTATATTTACATGATTATTCGAAGTTTGATCTTTGTGTTAAAAAGTGGAGATTTAGAAAAGTCTTTGTCACAAGGATACACTTAGTACAACCTATTAAAGTACAAGTTACATTCCCAGAAATAGGCGGACTGATGCAGCCTTTCACGCCTATGTCAAATAAGGCATGTTGAACTAAAATGCGAATTCTTATCTTATCCAAAACTCTAGTTGAGTAAAGTTGTGCATAGAATCGGTGCAAACTTAATTCATGATGTGTATTATTCATTTTTCATATGACTCATCACTTGCTTATATCTGTGAATATTTTTGTACAACGGAGTATTGTAGAATTATAGTTATTATATTATATATCACTTTGAAGCTTGAATTTTATTAGTTTATAACTTGTTACACCTCTAGAAAAAGGAATTGTACGGGAGAACTGTGACATGACGTTTTCAAAAGATTTCAATAATAGATTATGTAAAGTTTTGAGCATTAATACTACGCTCTGTCATGTCTTGATAATAATAGTTTGGACTGGCAAATCCATCTTATGTCAAAATATTACAATAGGTACTGTATAATACAATATATTATATCCTGATATATTAAAGTTACAATGTAAAACTAATGATTTTTCATTACTAATATGTATGTATGAAATATAAAACACCAGCAAAATTGACAGTGTAAAAAAAATATGATAATTTCATACATGGATAGAAAGTTCACGCATCCATTTTCTAACCTTTACTCATATGTTTTTACAGTATCGTATTACAAGTTAGCGGGTTATAAATAATTTAATTATCTACTATCATAATAAGTATTATGTTATTAATTTTATTTATCATAATTTTGTGTAAAATTTAATAAAACATGCAACGAAGTATGGCTACTCTTCTGATGGAATTTATAATTTTAGGTACTCTACACCTTCCATTTTTTTAAATATGTGCGTTAATTAACTAATACTGAACTACGAAAAAATACTTGTGCAGAGGTATAGCTCAAGTTAGCACTCAATGGAGAATGCCGATCAAAATCGGAGAAACAATTTTCGATTTTCACATTTCACAAATTGTGTAAAATATTAACGAATTTGATTTTTGTGTTCTTAGTTTCCATTCTCAGTATTTGCTGATTACTACTTTACAAGAAACAAGGTGAGTTGATGTTATGTTTGAAATTCGAAAAACCATTTTTGCAATTTTGTTCGTTAGAACACAACAGTATAGATATAAGCAATAAATAGAAAAATAAATAGAATAAATAGTAAAAATATAGAGATCAATACGAATCAAATACAGTATAAAGCTCTTTGGCATATTCCAGTAAGGAGAGAAACATTTTTATACAGAAAATTATATTTGCTGCTTGTTTAGAAAAGTTTCTATCCTTAAGATTTTCTGATTGCACAACACAGGTATTAAGGGAAATAATATTCACAGAAAGCTTGACTAGAGTACGTTCAAATAATTAATAACAAAATATACGATCCCAGCATTCTAATGTTGGGTTGTTAACAAGTTTAGTAAACCATGAAATCCTACGTTATTTTGCGTTCAACAAAATGATACATAATACTGATGATGCTGTTTTAACAAATAAGTCTATATTTGATCTCAAATTACGAGCTATTCTCATACCCTTTCAGAGTGATAGTTTTGGCATAATCAGAAATCAAATTTAGACTTCCATTAACAAATATAACAATAGCTTTTTCTAACATCTTTTCATACACTGATAGTAATAAGGCTTTTACAGAGATGGACAAAAAATGGGCAATGGTTAAATAGACTAGAAATTTAAGTTAGCAATGGCGGTGTAAAGTATTTAAAAGACCAGTCTTATAGTTTTCACGCTCGAACTGCCGAAAGATTTTACGGTAACTCTCTGGTAAATAAGGTAACTCCAATAAACTGACAAGGATTATTTACAGGCTTCGGGTCACCGATTTTGCCGCATCTCGATGTGTTGATAGATACATAGTAGTGGAGCAGATTCCTAAAGTACTAAGGTGAAGTACTTGAAAACAAGGAAAATATTTCTCTCGAAAGGATCAGTCTCACCATTTGTCCAAGTTTCAAAAATGTTTGGATGCGCGAATTGGTGTCCTCTGTGAGAATTATTATTACGTCCCATTTCCATTCTTTGTACATTTTTTTTGATGGTCTTTTATTTTGTCATCAATTACGGATATGATATTCTCTTTGTTTCCCTTGAAATTTCCATATCGGTCGATTGTATGGGACTTTTGCCGCGTTTTTTGATGACCCAGGCTTCAGAACTATACAGCAGAGTAGGTACAGCCATTAATGTGTAAAATTTGTGCTAGGTATATTGTCTTCACTGGTTTAGATTTCTTATTTATAATTATGCCGCACATTCTGGCGTAGGCCGTCAGTTTTTAGTGAATGCTGTTATCAGAACCGATATATTTGAATACACATTCCATAGTTGTGTCTTTTAGAAAGATTTTTGCTGTCACTGGTTGGTTCTCTATGAAAGCCATGACTTTGTTGGACGTCAGCAAGCCACAGTTATACTCCTTAGTGACATCATTCAGTAGATGCATATCCATTTGGAGTGTGTCTTTAGACCATCGGATCATCAGCAAAAAGTAAAATTTCCAGTGATCTCTTATGGTGCTTTTGGTGCGGTTTCTTTCCATTGTCTAATTATATCGTCAATATAACTTCTTGATTGATGTAAATCTTCTTTGAATCGTCGTATTTAAAAAATGTTTTAAATAAAATCCAGAACTGTTCATATATAGTAGCACAAAAACGCGAAATCGCATCTCGTGAAGGTTTCAAACGACTCTTTTCATTGATCCATCAGTTATCAGCACCAATTTTTCAGAAAGTGATTAAATATGCATGGTTTGCATTAAAACTGTCTGACCAAAGAGATTTTCGCCAAAATGTAAATGATGCATGTTTATCCTTTGATAAGTTTGAAAGACCTTGCACTTGCTTAAATGTTGATCCTTTTTTGTAGTCGGTGACAGTTTATGCTTTGTCCATTTATACGAGGATTATCATCCAATAACATAAATGAGGTAATTAATACAAATACAAAACTGATTTAATCTTCAACGGCTACTGCATTTTGTTATTTAAAAAACAACAGCAAACCTTACAACCTGCCTATGCTAATATAACAATTTTCGTAAGTTAGCATTTTCGAAACATTGACCAATGGTGAGACCGACAATTTCAAGAAATAGAGCTGTGGCCAAGTCGGTGACCTGAAAGGTGTAAGGTCTCCTTGTAGAACCAGGATGTAGGAGAATAATAAGTTTTCGTTTCAGTGATCACACTGCAAGGTTCTTTTCATCAATTCTTTTTTATGACGTGCAGAGACGATGAAGTAGTGCCTCTAGCTTATTATACCTACATATTATTGTGTATATCGAACAAACAGCCGACCTTCAGTCTAAATCGAAAACTTATCATTGAAAATGGTTAATACTAGGTTAACAATGGCGAATGACTAAGTAGACATAGTAAATCTAAACTTATTGAATTTAATAGTTTACCAATCTTGATCTACTTGAAAAAACTATAACTGCGGAAAGTACAGCGAATGCAAGATTTGTTTTTAAGTCGAGTACCATATTGATAAGTTTTGTGCTTGTCGTAACGGCCATACGCACTTTAGATATAGTAATGACTAGACCTAAACTCTATTCTACTTGTAGCTAAAATATATGATGATGAAATGGGTCGATGCATAAAAGTGGAACTAGACCGATGAACGGAGAATGTCGTAATGTGCACAGCAAAACACTGAATATAATCAGTTCAATTTTTATACGTGATCAAAACGAACATGATAGCCTGACTCGCTCGTGAAGTTCAATCTGTCAACTTATGTGGTTCACTCACAACCACGAGTTCCAAAAGCTGAAATAATATTTTTAAAATCGTTCATAATTTTCGTCCTGCTGTGTAGACTAATCTTATTGTCAAGTAATATTAGAACGCTTTGTACAGTTACTATTTTGGAGGCATTGTGGTTTTCAGTTTAGTTTCAGTTCATATATCGATGAACTATAAGTGTTAAAGTAGGAACTGTAATGCAAGTATGATCACAACAGGTGTGTCTTTGTTAAACTATAACTGATTGTACAGTGCGTTCCAAATTTACCCATTGTTCCTTCAATTCTTAAGTCAGTTCGTACAAAAAGTCCTCTTCCAGTATTGTTTCATGTAAATGTTTTGTATCCCAATAGAAATAATATTATCAGCAGTCATTAATATTAGATACTCATCTCTTCAAGTATTCGACATTTTCATATTTCAGCAAGCTCTGGTAATGTTTCGCTATGCGCATTTGACATTCGAAAGGAAAGCGCTTATTTAATATTATCTCATAGCATCTAAAATATATAAAATCGGATTCCATGATGGCAGGTGCACTTTATGTCAATGACAGAAAGGACCGTTTCGCGTTTATTATTTTTTGTAAGTATAAAAGGTGCATTGAATGGACCCCAATGTATTTACAGCATGGGATGAGATGGATAAATCATCAAGGTGGATAGAAAAACCTTTCAAAGATCTCCAAATCAACATAGCTATAACTCCAGATTTTCCGGAGTACGTAAAACTTTCTAACACGTATAGAGGTATTTGCATCAGTTCAGTCACTGCGTATTTTATATTGTCATCTCAATTATCTACAAAACTTCCATAATATGCCTTCTTTCAATAAAGTTTTTGTACTGAACATTTGCAGAAAAATGGTGCTCGATTACACACGCTACCTCCCAAAAATATCCTTTGTACGAAACTCCAGTGTGGTCCTGTTTGCATTCTTTTGATTTTGGTGGTCCTGGTACTTGGTGTCATTTTGCTTATAGTGTGACAATTCAAGGCTACACTCCACCTTAAAACTTTCCTAAGATGTAGGAAGACAAAGCTCTTCCTACCTCCTTGTCATAAATGCCCAATAAACTATTGTCTGAGAAATTTTTTTACCTATATGCTATAATACAGCTTGTTGTTAGTGTCAAGAAAATTTGAGAACCTTATGGAGATTTGTGATGTTCCTAGGAAACGACAAAGAAAACTTTTTCGATCCACCTATTCCTAAATTTGTCCGGCGAGATACCGATATCGCCAAGTACGCGGTTTCGGGAAACATTGTCGTATCCCCATGATGAAGAATCGTTTACACAAATAATTGCAAAAACATACCCTGTATCCTTGAATCACTTCGCTGCGTTTAGACATTTGTTTTCCGCATTCTGTTCCACCAAAAGAACTCAGCCACGATAGAGAAAATCAACCACTAGAGATTAAAATTCAAATTACGTCATGATCACTTGGAATCATTCAGTATCCAAAGGCTCGTCTACCGATGGCTAGACGATACAACTACTTGCTTTTAGACTTTAATACAAATCCCCAGCGAGCGTTCCCTGTGTTCACACTTCTATGATTCATTTTAATTTTATTACTCTAAGACTATTTATTTCCTTGTCAAGCACAAATGAGTATATTCTATAACTACCCTTACCTTCTATTCAATATATGTACTAGTATACCTCTTGTCTCTCAGTCAATACAATATGGGTCTATTTAGTCACTATGTGTTTTTGGGTTCAGAAGATAACTTGCACTTCTTGCAGTTAAGATTTTACAATCATCGTGGAACAATTTTCTCTATCGTAACTCCTTAGTCTTTCTGGATCTAATCTGATTGGGGAGACCACGTGAATGTTCTTTGTATAACTCGGGAGCTGTCACCCTCCCTACTTTTCGATTCATACTTAAATATCTATTTTTCTTTTTAGTTTATTTCCATCGCTAGAGGAATGTCTTTAGCAAGCGTGGAATGCACTACTACTAAAGAAAAAAATTAGCGTTTTATTTATAGTTATATAATACAAGTCAGCGTTTATTCCACTTTTGCTCACAGGTCAGCCAGTCTTTGAAAGTAACATTTGTCCTTACTTTTTGTTGTTAATGACTTTTTTCGTTTGTTATTTGAAATATCTTAGTATCTTAGCTTGTCGTTATCGCAGTTATTTGGAAATTGTTTGAAACTGATACGTCAGACAGTTCTATTGAGGTAGGAATGAACGTTACTCCGACTTCCAGATGACACACTAAACAAAAGCGGAATAAACGTCAAGTTAAAAGTAGCAAACCATTTGTCTGCAATAAGAATACATTGGTAAGACGATGTCACAAAATACACTCAAATGCTGTTCAAACTTTTGCTAGTCATGAGAAGATTTGAAATAATGCCCGGATATAAATTAAAAAGTAAGCTGTAAGACGCTTGAGTAGACATACGCTCCCGGGATGATACTATCTTCGGTTGTTCTTAAACGCCTCTAATATCACCTTTAATACCGTCTGAGATATTGGCACAAACTGCAGAAGCACAAGAATGCAAAGAGGGACATGATAGTAACCCCTTATTATTTATTGGATCATTTTGATTCAAGACTTTCTTTGATTTGTCCAGCTGTCTGAGTGCATTCTATGTATCAGAAGTACGGTTTCACCTAACGATGTATTCAGTCGTTCCGTTAATATTGCACTGTATTATCTCAGCCAATGAAAAATAGAATCATACTTAACCGATAAAAAGTTGAACCTCTAAATACTTCAAATTCAATAAATAGCATGTATGTCGACTAAATATGTCTTACGACTAAAAAGGTTGATTTGGTTTTCCTCACTTGTTTCTCGTTTTTTTTTTAGTCTAACAAGGTACTGAACTAGTAGCACTAACGCAATTGGTTTGTACATTGTTTTTCAAATCAAAAACTGAGATCAATTCGACTTCTTGTATATACCCAGAATTTTTTTTTGATTTTCTTGTACCTAATGTTAGTGTACCTACTTTGTGCTAGATATTCTTATTGTCAAAAGAAGCTGTACATATAGGATACACAAATCCTCTTAATTGCGAGTTTCTCTCAAAACAGATTCGTACTATGACTAGTTAAAGCTTTAAATAGTAAACTAAGTATTGTGTGTGATTGAATTTGTACAATTTTTATGTCTCGTTGATGAAGCTCTTTCAAACATTAGATTAAGGTGTGTTAAGAAAATATAATTGTATGAAGTATTTTTTTACGATTGACACTGATGGGAAATATTTCATTCCACGCGTTTCAAGGTTTCATCAATTACTATTATGAATAAAATAAACTTTCGCGTAAACATACAGTGAAATATACCTATATTTTTTGGAAATACTGTCATCAGAGAGCTTCATGTAGGGAGCGCTTCAATATGTTGCATCAATTCACACGGAGCTTGTGCTATATTCATGTACCACGGCAAATATTGAGAACTGCTAAACCTAAAACGGAATCGTCGGTCAAGATAAAACACGAAGCTGGTGTGTACAGCGAATAGAGGATAGCCAAATCAACAGAGGTCTAAATTAATATGTACCTAATCATTTTAACTAATGACAGCCAAGGGCTGGATAATTTGACTAGAGTGGCCCAGTCGAGCATATTCCTTTAGCATTAGGATAAATGGAGGTGACCTTATTATCTGACCAAATGGTTGCAATGCAATAGACTATTTGTGAACTTCTTGTTGTTACCATGACTTTTTTTGATAGTGTTGTTCAGAAAGGTGCATATTATAACAGCACTAGAAAAATTCACACACATCATCTACTTCCGCCAATTTTGTCACTTGAGAGACTGATAATAATTTTTGTGAATATTGTGGATAATAAGAGCCACCCCAATACCCTTGTAGCTTTTAAATGCGCCCTTCAATTTTCCTGGCCTGGGACTAAATTGTCGCCCCGCGAAAGCGTTAACTAACTTCTCAACAACTATTTGGCGAAAACGCACAACTTGCATTTTGATATAATTATAAACTTATATACTTACATTTGATAAAATTCATAAATGGCAAACGCATTTTTCTAAAATCGATAAACGGCATACCAAATGCTATAGAATATCTTCGTCAAACTATATGTATAGAGAATCAGGATGATCTCATTTGAAATGGATTTCAAACCCACATGACAAACATTTTCATTAATCAGTATGAATAAAAGAGTAACCGTTTGATTTTGCATAAATTTTTTGCGTAAATATTTGGATCAAACTTACCCGAGGTTGACAGTATTTTTCCAAATATTTAATTTGAGGTTACTCTGACTCGGTTAAGTACAGAGGCTGAAGTCAACAAAAAGTGTCGTTCTTGAAAAAAATAAACACAAGTTGATATGCCAAAATGTTTAAGCGTATCTAGAATTCAGTAGGTTTTTGAGTAACATATTTTCTGATCCCAATATCGAGAACGCGTAGCATGGAGAAGATATTCCATACATCCCATACCCAAATGGTATTTTGACCACTCTGTGTTCCTCCTTTATCATTTTGTGTGTTATCACCTAACCTAGGGTTGCTACAGCTACGGATTTTTACAGGTTAATATATATATATTTGGTACTTTTTAAGGATTATGTTACTTAGTAGAAATATTATACTATTTTTGTATAAGTACTGTTAAATATATGTAAATAAATATATCATTGGCTCACTTACAACTTTAAAAATGCCGGAGCCCTGATTTGGTTTGTTCGAGTGCTTTCGAAAAACGTCCTGTTATTATTTAAAATTTTATTTCAACAACAACGGAACTGTTCGTGCTAGTTGATAAAAACATATACTCTAGCAACGCTGAACATTTCGAAATATTTTATAATTTAATCTCGTTATCACATGACGGTTTTTACATTTAATATGGCAATTCAGTTACGGCTTACTGACAGATATACATGATTTTATCAAAAATACACTCTGTATTAGGACATGCATCTCCACAATGATATTCCCCTTACATGGAGTTACATATATATCATCAGCAATATTTATATCATAAGAGGTTTCAGCGTTTTATGTATGTACCTTTCAACAAACACCCGAAGCGACCATCACAAGACTTCCAGTAGAATTTTACCAAACTTTTCTATGATGCTTGATAAACCTTAGATACTAACATTTCCTTTTTGTTTGTTTAGTGGCACGTCCAATAAAAATTCATATGTTTCAATATGACACTCGCACTACACTCCAAACGTATTCTCAAAAATGCGATCTTGCGAATTGCAGCTAGCTTAAAAGCATAATGAAGTTCAGGCTACGTATCTAGTATTGTTTTGGATAAAATCTACTGACTATCATTTTCATGTGGGATACTTTGGGTCCATTCTCTTGAACAACTTTTAACCAAATATTACCGTTTTCGAAAGCACCTCATCTTATAGATTAAATGTTCACATTTTCAATTATAGAACTCCGAGCAGCTGTGACTAGCATAGCATCACATGAGATACGCCTGAGCTAAATTTGGCAACTGTGGACACAGGACCAGACACGCCACCATACCTTAATGGCTTCTGATACTATCAATATGCTTCCGCAAAAAAGCTCGGTATATTTTACAATAACATTGAATATTCTTCACTCTTCATAAGACTCAATATCATCCCGTCTTATACGAGGGTTGGTCAAAAGAAAGGTTTTGCACCTTCGAATGTGGCTGGAGCTTTTTGGGGACCATATTTCTGGATCAACCCTCGTAACTTTAAACAACGCCGGCAATTTTCAATGATTTATAGCGTCATTTTTCTATCTCGCCGCCAACGACCGCTTGCGATTTCTTATTAATGTAGACAAGACATAAAATTATGCGCAAAAGATACCGTACCAAGTGGCAACGGTTCTGGAACTTTCAACCTTGGAGTTAGACCGTAATCAGGTGCCAAAATGGAAGAGTAACGCAGTAAAAGCTCTCTGGCTAATGTTTGTCAGGCGAGTGGTTTTTATGCAGGACAGCACAGGTTCTAGCACAGAGAGCACAAATATAACCCAAGCTGTCGACGTGGTCGCTCCAGCCAGAAGCAGCGTCAGACACAGCGGTACTGGGTCGGATTGCGTTTTCAGTGCTGTTAACAGAGTTGACCTGTGCATTTTTTGTAGTTCAAGTTCATGATGACATTATGGACCACGGTTCTGTATGTGGATGACTGTTTTGACATTCAATTAGGGCCTTAAAAATAACTTCAGCGAAACAGCTACGAGGTCTTCTGTTCGGAAGTTACTGCTCGGATTATGGTACAATTTTGACACCAAGGTACTGCTTTATCAATGATAGAATACCTTACTTAAATGTGTTCAACAATAACGGAGCAGGAGCAAGTAGAAGGGGAACATCTGAAAACTGTGTTATACTATTCTCTTCCGCTCTGGTACTAGACTACATGACATTAGAACTTATAAGACTTTTAAACTTATATGAACTGTAAAAAGCATACACACTTTCGTATACTAACTGATTGATTCTGCTTTTATGAAATAGAGCGCTACTCATTTTTCACCAGACTTCTATGTCCAATATTTCAAAAGCGTTGTACTTAGAACTATTGTTTGCTCATTATTTATGTCTTCAACAACCTTAATAAGCAGAATAAAATTCATCGTTGTTCGCGAGATAAAGGAACGACGCCCGAATTACCCATTACCCTTTTCTCTATTTCTGGCGTTGAAACTCAATAATTAAAAGAGAGTAAATGTAACTTCAACATTTACCTTCGACATATGTCAAAATGTATTTTTTTCGCTGTTTCCAGTCAAAAGTAAGAGGACGGAGCCACTGACGAGTACTTCAGTTGAAAAACAGAAAAAGGGTGTATGAGCTATATGGCGATAGGTGGAGCTGTGGGCAAATAGCTAACGAAATCTGACTTGCGCCACCTACAAATGGTTTGCCAAAGCTGGTACATTCTTAGTCTTTACGCTGAAAATGACAAAAAGGCCCCTACGTCGTTTGGCTCATAACTGATAGACGTCTGTACTATGTATAGACCAACAAATTTGAATAGATTAGAAGTAGCCGAGCCTTGCCTTGCATTGTAATACTTACCGGTGGAAAGATCTTTTTTCGTTAGGCTTGTGGCCGCTCTTCGCAAATTATGCAAGAAGTACCATGTCCTGAAATTGCCTCACACAACAATTATTTGCAAACCCTCGTATTTTTTGAAAAATTTCATCAAAAATACGAATTTAATGCCAGAACTACACAATGCTGTCTATGGACTTAGATTCTGGAGACGAACAAATCGTAGGCCTCCTCCTTCTATCTAGTCTGAATTCGTTGGTAAAGGTGGACACAGCCTGAATATTCAGTTCACCCTGTGTATGCATTGCTAGTAGCTTTGTGAATGCTTAGAAATACATCTGCTTGACGGGTCGTAGGTTTTTATTATGATGGGCGATATTTATCTGTACATAATACAGACGCCTAACAATTATAAGCTAGAAGGTATAGAGCTTTTGTGTTATATTCCGTAAACATACATACACATTTTTTAAAAGACGATACTCACTTGCTTGCTATCCGTTTGTCTGTCTCCAACACCTATACTGTACTGATGAAGCATGAAACAGCGGTGTCTGCGGTTGGATATGGTTGCAGAGACAGATAGCAAACATATTTAACTCAGTCCGTCATGTAGAGTGTTCAATATAATTGCATTTCATTCTGAGTTTTTTTTGCGCAAGTATATAGCAGCATCTGGAACCACCATTTTTCACTTTTTTCATATATCTTATTCGATTATAGTTAAACCACACACATTTATATATACTTACAACAAATAGAGAGTTGTCTCGAAACAATATATAACAGTTATATATGTCGACAAAACGAGAATACAAAACGGCCTGTACAATCAAACACTGATTTGTTATTTAATCACAGCCCATTCGGAATTTCTCGAGAAGAGAACGGTCTGGTGGCGTAAAGGGGCCAACTACTTTACAGACACTTACGAGGAATTGACAACGTAGCAACCTTTAGATTCTTGGGATATTCTACAATGATTGAAGTCTTTAGAAAAATGATTTGTTTATAATTCGGCTATCGATGTTTATTCTATTCCTATAAATCTCCAATAAGAGCTAAATGATCCAATATTCAATTTCTACTCGGTTTATAAATTGTAGTGATTGTAGTCACTATTTCAGGACCATTAATAGTCATTTACTGGCATTACCCACATTGAGGTGTTTATGATTATAAACGCTGCTCTGATATCAGTTACCTAAACTATATGTACGATGAAATACTATAAGAGGGTAAAGTAAAGAAAATGTGATTGATTTATATTCCACAACTAACACATTTTGGAATAAATAGATGATGTTTTTAGAGTAGGCCACTATTAGTTCTTGTGAAAATAATAAAAATTTTCTAGTAACACGTAACCCAAAGTCTTAAGATGGAGATGCTAGATTCCGAAAAAATCTGTGAATCATAGTCCGGCCCTGCCTACTGATTGAATAAAAGGTGGAAAGACACGATACGTATCAGTATTTAACCTAGGCGATGTGTAGGTAAACTGAGCTGTTTGTTTATAAAGTGGATTCAAGAGAGCAACATTAATAATAAGCATGTGGATGTGGTTATACGGTGAATGTTATCAAGATGCTGTTGAGGTTTAAAGAATGTATTCAGATTGTTTCCCGAAACGTATCCATCCTGGGCCGCGTTTGTTTGTTTACGTAGCGCAAAAAAGAAGCTGAATGTTGCAAACGGAGATCAACACTTGGGTTTTTGGAAGTGAAGGGTGCAAACTTATATAAGTAAGTAAGTATGAGCTGAAGTTTCACTGCTTATCAGGTACACCTTGTATATTACAGTACTTTGTTTGAAACTCGCGTGCATTGATAGGTCCCCACTGTCTGGGCGAATCGAACCACATATACATCACTCGATCGACATACCTAGTCATGGTCAAGGACATGTCCAAACTCAGAAATTTCCGTATTTTCGACTTCAGGAGTCAAAAGTATAGGGTTACATTTAAGAAAACCAATTTGATCTCAAAATAAGCTAAGTCAAGCACAAGATCATGGTCAAGGATATATCTAAACTTAAATTCAATTTGACTGTAAAAGGAAATCAAAGTCAAGGTCATTGTCAGGATCACCATTATACTGCTAAGTAAAATCCTACAACTCTTATCTTAGTAATTTTTTCCGGTCAGTAGTTTCACAGACACGGGGAAGGGTCGGGAAGTTGTTGAACATCCTGTATGTTTTGACTTCTGTTCATTGTACGACGATTCGTACATCATAGTGGCCTTCATCAAGTACAACAACAATTATTTATTTTATTATTTATCTGATAAACAAAATATAATGTCATTGTAGTTGAGAACGGCCATCGCGGAGGTCGTTCAATAAACAGAAATTAAGATATACCTACTTGGGTCAGACAAGGGAGACATGAAAACCACAGGATACGTTTTGGGAGCAACATTATATAAGCATTGACTTCGAGAATGTGCCCCAACATCAGGCTGTGTTTTTTTAAAGGATGCCGCAGCGAAAAATAAGTTTGTCTCTTAAAAAAAAAAATAAAATCGGTTATTGTCATTGACATACAACTTTGGTCCTATAATAGTGATCGAACACTCACTACTAAAAGACTTGGAGTCAGATTTATAGGCCTCCCTTAAAACGTGAGAGTTCCTTGGAAAAAATGGATATCTGATATCTCATTATTAAATAATGAAACAATGACGCTTCCTTGAGGAACGTTCAAGGAAGGATTTAAACTTTCATTTCATAGCAGGCTGTAATAGTTGTCAACACACGCTATCATCGATGGCAGAAAGATTTTTCTTTGCTGGTCGCATCTATTTAGCATTTTGATGATAAAATTGTAAAGATATTTGGCTTGTTTGTGCTAAATACCTATATGAATACAATGCAAAATGCTTCCTCGAATTACAGCCCAATCACAGATAAGAAAAAAACTGATTATAGGCAACCAGTTGTACCGAACTGTTCTGCTGGTTGCAGATTAAAGATTTGTCTGTCAGATTCAACTACTACAGTACTTGAAACAAAAACATATTTTATATTCAAATTTTATATTATTATAAATTATAATGTATGACAATAAAAAAAGAAATTTAGCGAGAATCTGAATTTGACCTATATATTAGACAAATTTAGAGCAATCAATGAAAATAAAATGAGAAGGTAACAGTAAAGCAGTTTGGTGCAACTGGTCGCCTATATTCAGTTTTTCACTTCTCTGTGATTGCACTGTTATTCGAGACAGCAAAAATATTATTTTTTATTGTTTATTTATATTTAGCACCAATAAACCAAATTGTTTAACTGTTTCCAAGGAAGCCTCAAGGAAGGTCTACAAATCTGACTCTTGATACCTAAGAGTTTTAACATCTAATGAGGACTTAAGCCTGCGAACCCAAACGTAACATTATTAGAGTCAATTTGGCAGTACATATACACATATTTATAGTGTATGTAAGTTTAAAGTGGTAGTTAATCACTTGCTGGGTAATTCACATCCTAATTCTTCATAAAAGGGTTGACTGATTGTTCTAATCTAAGTTTTGAATATCTTAAGTAACCACCCCAATGTCATTTCATGACGACTGTTTATAACAAAATGATCAAAAGACTGCTAGATGCCGCATCCGCAGAAGGTTGAAAGTGTGTACTACAATAAAGAGTGCTCGGAGTAATAATATATACCGCCAGGCGCGTGTGGTAATAATCGTTAATATGTATAAAACTATTTTGTTATGTTTAAGTGTATGTATATACTATTGGCGAAGGATGGGCAGACCTGCGCTGGGCAGTCGAAGCAGTGCCGAACCGGTGGGGGCGGCTGCCGTAGAGGGGGCCCAGGGCTAATAGGGTCTGTTGGCGTCCTTGGGTCGCTTCAGTTGGACCTTCAGGCGTTTCATGCCGATTTGGAAGCCGTTCATCGCTTGAATCGCTGCTTGGGCGCTTGCTGGGTTGTCGAATGATACAAACCCTGTAACAAAAGTTTTGAGTACAATCAAGAGTTTTTGCAAACATAGCCTTCATATTATATCCGCCCAACTAACAATTATCACTCCTATTAGAGTTGCAAGAATGATTATAAAGTATTCATTAAACAGCATTGTATACTGTAAGAACATTGACAAAACCCTCTTAGAACTGCTATACAAGCGGAATGGGCACACCTACTAGGACACTTCAGTCATTTAAGAGGTTGTATAAGGGCTGCAGGTAACAGTTATACAACAAAAGTGTAGGCCTCTTGCAGCCGCTATAGGACATTTGCGTCAGTGCAAGATTCAGTTTTTGTCAACTATACAACTATTCTGTTACGTGATTCTACTTTATTGCAACCAAACTATTTCTTATGTATTGTATAGACGAAGAAGAATATATCACTAACACTTTACAGTCATCTTGTTTACTTACATATCGGCCATTGTGAATTTCATACACAGGTATATGACAAACTTCTACACTGTGATGTAGGGCTACTGAATTACTTGCGCAGCAAATTTTATTGTGATTATCGTGCAAATTAGTTACGCAATTTCTACGGGCTTCGTTGTCTTTAGGTTATTGGAATATTTTCGTGTTGCCTGCAGGTGTTATACCACAATTTGACAAATGTCTGAAATGAAATACCGACAGAGTCGAATGATTTACCCAGAATTTGTACCAGATCTATATCTTCTGTTTGAACAGTTGATAAAACATTTTGAACCAATATGCATACGTTGTTTGTCTTAAAACATTGGTTATGAAATTAAAAAAAAATATATGACAGCAGAAAGTTAGGTTATGGTGAAGTTGTATACCAACATAATTAGCATATGTACAGCCTTTAACAGTTACTAAACAACAGTTGTATAAGTGCTTCCGTTGGGAGCAATTTGTTGGCTAAAGTAGTAAATTGCACAGCAAAACCACAAGGCTCGGGTTTGTTTTATAAATGTTACCATGGATGCCACAACACAACCATTTCGACTAACGTGCAAATATGCCCTATAAAATAGTTGTATAAACGTTTATGCAACAGTTAAAAATTTGTCCTATAAGGTGTTGTATAACTATGGCATAAGAATATTTTAAACACCTCACTTTAGAGCAGATATGTTTCAGAAAGCAAATTTGCATTCCACACAACATGGTGTTCAGGAAACAACAATAGAGAGCTTTTATGGCTGAACGGTTCTTTTACCAAAAGCTTATACTTTGCTAGTTGGGCGTCATATTCATTCTTCAAAAATAGATATTTAATTCATTATTAGCTGCTTTGAAAACATCTGAAACTCAAATTTGAGCGCAATCGAAACATTTCTTTGCAACCGTCCGCCATATTGGATCGGCCATTTCGATTTCTGACAGATATTTATTACCGGCGACCTCGAGAATATGTAAGCGAAGTTTCTTGGTCGAATTTAGCAAATATTTTCAGTTTTGGCGATGTTTCAGGACTGTTGACCCACTGTCCGCCCGTAAACCGTTTATGGCTACTACTATAAAGGGTGTCCCAACAAAATTGGAAAGTAGTTTCATGGGCAAGCCGGAAAACTCTGTTTCGTGGTAATCTTGCTATGTTACTTGTACATATTTTGAAATTATTATTTTACTATTTCCAAGGAGCACTATAAGGTAAAATGCGTTCTTAAGGAATGATCTACCTGTCTTACTAGAGAATGTAAATTTAATAACTAGGAGAATTCTGAGGTACCAACATGACGGCGTCCTCCCAGATTACCGCTGACGCCCTAATAATTGAATAGGGAGAGGCCGACGGATCAATTGGCTAGCGAAATCTCCCGATCTGACGCCTCTCGACTCCGTTCTCAGGCCTCTTGTAAAAGGAAAGGTTAACCAGGAGGAACCTACAACACTCGAGATCATGAAACATCATAGGTGTATACCTTGGCAAACCCTTTTAGTCGTGCAAAATAACTTCAACAGGCGTCTGGCATTGTGTACTCGTACTTTGCATCAAGGTAATATTTTCGAACAATTTATTAACGATTGATTGCCTTATGCTCAGATTATTTTTGTTGTGTTAATAAAGGCTATTGTTTGGATAGAAGATTTGATTTCATGCTTAGATACAAGATGTTTTTGGTTCCTCTTCAAATTAATAGCAAAAGCTCAAGAACCTTTTGCAAAAATTTCACCAAAAAATCTATTTAATTATGTAGAAATATATAAGGTGTTTCATAAGATATTTTGAGAAAGGTTACATTTTACCCTGTATAAATAAAAAGAAATTTGAGGATGTGCTCCAGATCAGCTTAAAATCGATGATAATAAAATTTCTGTAAGCCAATATCCATGTGAATATATACAAAAAATGTCAGAGCTGAACGCATTTTTTCAGACGTTTGACCAAATATCTAAACAATTGACAATCGAAACCATTTTTTATATGATATCAAACTTCTTGTGTTCAGAGGCTCTATTGAAACATGCAATAAAATATATCCTATTTAAAAAAATACATGTTTGCTATGGCACGAAGTTATGGAGCACTCTGTATATATAAAAATAATTTTAAAATATGCATTAGTAACTTATCAAGGTTGCCAAGAAAACAGATACATGATATACTTTCCGGTTTGCTCAAGAAACTACTTTTCATTTTCATGTCGACCACAGTCTATAGATATACTCGTTTGTGCTGTCAGCATTGTCACCTATAGAATTGTTGCCGCATGTCATGGGATTTTCTTTTTCGTAGTTGATAAGTTAAGGAAATACGAAGCTTCATACCCGCTGTACGTGAACAGTTTCTTCGCAAATTTATTCAGATAAATTTCTTCAAGGTCACCCTGATTGTGGTTTGCAGCGTTTACATCAATGGATAAATAAATGGATTACATGTTACTACACAGTCCTGCCAACAGTGCGAACTACAGAATAAATTCTTCCTAACAACGTATCAAAGTTCTATACTTGGAATGATAAAATGATCAATATAATGAAAAGGAAAACAAGGTAGAAACTATGGAGTTTGACGTCCAACTTGTCGAAAATTATTTCTAATTGGGTGCAGAATTCAACGAAGAAGGACTTATTGTCAATGTAAAACGGGTATTCGGAATAAACAAGAGGCAGGTTGCGCAGTAATATTTTCTTGGAAAATTTATGTCATCCTTATTCTAATTACCTCTGAGAAAATAACAGCGAGTCTACATCACAACCTAGCTGTAATGATGAACATTAAATGTAAATATCCAAAATCATCATGAAGTAGTTAATCTTTTTGGAGGATGCGATAACTATGTGATTTTTTTGACGACAGTTTTGAAGAGTGTTTTCTAGTTACTTACCGAAACATTTGCTCTGATTTGTGGCACGATCAATGAATACTTTCGAGCTGATGACGTTTCCGAAAGGTAAAAACATCTGCATTAGCTCCGCGTCACCGAATTCCTGTGGTAGATGGTAGATGAAGAGGTTGCAGCCCTCAGGTCCAGATATTGAACAGCCTGATGAGAAATTATCAGTTTATCAACGAGTACATTATCGCTAAGGCCTGTTTTAACGTGATAGCATTTGCTTTGCGTCAAATATCAACAACAACTCTGTTAGAAGAGCTCTATTCAAACAATAGGTTTATGTATTGGAGATTACATTATTCATTTATACTCGATACTTGAAGTCAATATCACTATAAGCATTATTTCAAAAGTTTGTATAGCTCACGTACAGGTCCAGGGCATTGCTTTTGTCTCGTCTATAGTTGATATTAACTTGAACCGAATGTCAATGAAAATATTATTCCCAAAGGTTTCTGCGGAAAATAGTTCTTATTCTGGAAGCTATCTCGTCAAGCAGGCCATCAAAAAATATAACAAGCAAAGCAGTTCAATCTAATGCGTCGGGAATACGTGGAAGAAAGTAATGTTAAAATATTAGTGGAGTTATACTTGCCTGGATTTTCAACCAGTACGAATGCTGCAAGCAAAACAGTTGGGTTAAATATATTTTTTGGGGTTATGAATGCCTATCATAGAAACTTCATACTTTCCACGGTTAGTGTTAATACTCTACATAACTAAATGCTATTAGGTATTACTGTAGCTAAACGTTGATAATAATATATCAGTAAGAGTCCTAAGCTATCTCTTCTGCTAGCTACCATGGAAATAACTGTATGTATCTACGACTTTTAGTACGTATTTTATCTCCGAATGGGTTTATTAAAGTTACTGAAACTGAGTGAATGTAGGCAATAAGAAAAGGATAACGTATTGAATATAAATTTCGCGCAACAGTTAAACATTGTGATGGAAGAAATATTATATTTTTACTAAAGCAAAAAAGTTGCAATTTCTACAATTTATTAGAAAATATTTTGAAAGGCTGACAGGTGAAGTATAAGAGCTGATTAATGCGCATAAAGTGTACAATGAAATAATTTGAATTAAGTCATTTTCAGGCCAAAACTTGAAGCAAATCAAGCAGTACAAGTCGCAGGAAATTAAACTTCGCTCAGTTGTCATTTATTTACAGGCTGCTTTGCTAGGTGCTATAGCAAATTTTCATTGAAAAAAATACAATAATGTGCGATGCTTTAGTGATATACTAGAATGTAGGTAAGTTCTCACATAAAAAATGAAATATATTTTTTTATCCGTAAAATACCATATCTGAAGTTAGAATCAGTGAAATCGAGAGTTTTGTGCAGAAGAAGGCTTATCGAAAGACGAGAAATTGATTCCAAGTCTTTTTTCCGCAATTTTAGCATTAACATGAGAGATATGTAGATACTTTTATGTTATCTTAGTTTTCTAACTATTTATCTCCAAGCATTTTAGACCTTTGGATTGAAGAACATCAATTTCTTCCACAAGAACATTTAGCAAGTTGCATGTTAGTTTTTATTTTTCCCGGATATGATCAAAATTAAACTAACATAGCAAATATAGACAATATCAATCATACACATTGTGAGAGAACATGTTCAACATTCAACATGGCAATAACAGTGAAATGCACAGGGGTTTGGGGAAACACTTAAGAGAGGGGGGTAATTTGCAAATATTATTTTCGGTGTGGTGCTAAGACAGCTGCAAATGTTAACAAAACAACATCGCACAGACGTTGGTGGAACATCACAGAGCAAAAACGCTCTTTAAGATTGAACGATGTCCACTAATAGCTTCATGTTAATGTGGTTTGCTTGATCGTCTCAAAATAATTCTCGGGATAATGACCATTGCCGTCTGGTGCTGTTTACATTTTAAAAATAGCATCAAGTACTTTGAGCCTCGTAACAACCAAATACAGTCACACCATATGCCTGTTCATGCATCCTATGCATTGCCAGTCATTCAAGACAAAATCATGTCATATTAATTTAAAAAAAATATACAAAATAGTATAAACAAATTAAATACGAAATGCAGTTGCAATGGTTTTGAAAAAATGACTGCGATACGATGGCTCTGCCAGTAGTTAATAGGTGGCGTTCGTGGTGAGTGGGCTTCCTACAATGTCGTGTCATCAATAGGAATTTTAAGGCATCTCTGACTGTACGTAGTTCCAGATTCCAAAAGAGGTGTATACCTCGGTACTTGACGCTATTTTTGTACATATCAAGCAAACCGCATTTGTACGTGGTTACTGATATTCCTGCGTGAAAGCTTGTACGTCTATATGCGCAGAAAGCGAATCATGTTGAAAATAGGAGTCTTACCTTCTCTTTGGGCGGGCGGTACTGCCGATATTGGTTGCGGAATAGCCTGTGGGAATTGACCATAAACGGCGGGGTAAGCTGCTGACAAATATAAACAAAAATCACACCGATACTTTACCATCAATGCAACATGCTAACATACTGGCACATTTTTGTACATTCAACATATAAGTCGGTCGGATGACGGAGCTTCTTCATCATTTAAAGTAAAGTAACGTCATCGGAAGAAGACACCTGCACTTTTAATTTGAGGCGCACGAACTATTCTCATTCATTTTACGATCGGATTTCTTTTTAATTTTTCGAATGATCATTGAAATATTGGTGAGACAAAAATAGTATGGCCAGTACTATTTTCTCACTACTAACTGAAGGAAATTATTGATCTCTATACCAATAATGATGACATAAAACCACTAGGTAAGTCTCACAATTAAACTGTATACTTAGAAATATTTGGAAACGAGTATGAAATAACTAATATTGGGTGTAACTCGTCTGGTAGCTATCCAATGCCAGCAGAATAAAAACATGCCCATCAAGCACCTCACTCCCACCTGAAACTGAAATGGACAAGACGCAGGCTAAATCTGTTTTCTAATGCATTATTTGCCAAATTGACTTTCTTCTCAGCCAAGGTGTACAGAATACTGACAACTTCTAAAAATTCCTGCGTGGTGTTTTAATTGGTGGCAAGGTACACTTTTAGTTATTCTTGATTCATTTTAGATCTTTTTTGTAAGCAATAAGATAATATAAATGCTATAAGATAATGCAGTGGGCTAGCCAATATCTTTATATACGCTGAAGTTAATTTTTCGCCTTATAATGACAGTGCAGAGTAGTTTTCCTCCTTTGCCTATTCTGTAAACATAATATGCTATTATTATAGAATTATAGAATGTTTTGAGTATTTGATCATTGTTCATTCCTAATTTAATAGTTTTTCAACTTAGAGAAACTCGTGTACTTAAATTATCGGTAAATTTTTTCAGCATTTTAATGTTGGAAACATGAGTAAACAAACCTACGATTTGAGAAGCTGAGTATTCGTATCGTGGTATAATACCACTAGCTACTATAATAGACACAATCCTGTACATATTTGTTGTTTAAGATTTATTTAGCATGATTGCCACAATTACATTCTTCTAAAAAACTAAACAATTACATAACATACACATATTTAGAGAAAAAAAATTGCATTTCTAAGAGTTTTCATTGTCCATGAAATATTCCTTTAATTTTCTTTCAAATATCTTTAAATTACAAGTAGACTATGTATCGCTATTTAGTTTATTAAATTCAAGTAATCCTTTCTGAAATATTGATTTGCTAGTTATACTACTATTGCAATTTTGTAAATGAAAATCTATATTTCCTCTTGTATAATAATTGTGGTAATGATTATTCAATTCTATGTAGTGACCTAAATGTTCTGGCAAAAGATGATTTTTTATTTTAAATATAAAAATAGGAACCAAATATGATATGACATTTTTTATTATATATTCCCATAGCTTTACTTTGCAAGACGTGTAGTTTTGAGAATACACTGCATTGGCAGTGAACAAGAGACTTGAACAATATAGTGAAAGCGGTAGAATAATTGTATTATGAACTATTTTCTTGGAATATGTACCAAGACTATGAGAAGCCCTATAAAAGTAATTTGTTTTTTGTCAATTCTTAAATAATGTATTCACAGTGATCCTGAAACTTTAGTTTACTATCAATATATATACCTAAATATTTAATTGATTCAACATTTTCAATTATATCACTTATCCTAACTGTGATAGTATTTTCATTTAGGTATTTCCCTATTAGCATACATTTTGTTTTAGAAGTATTCAATTTTAGTTTATTTACATTTAACCAATTTACGATTTTTGCCAAGTCAGAATTTAGCATTTTTAAAGCAGTGTCTATATTTTTATCTGATATGTATATTAATGTATCATCTGCAAATATCTGAAGTTTACAATAATCTAAAATATTACAAATGTCATTAATGTATAAAATAAATAGTAGTGGACCTAGTTTACTACCTTGAGGTATGCCAACAGAAATATTTTTTGATCTTGATAGTGTAGATCCAATTTTGGTTTTTTGACTTCTGTCAATTGAATAGTTTTGTAGAATTTTGAATGCAGATCCCTTAAATCTGCAGTGGTGCAATTTTGTAAGTAATTTATCCCTTTCAATAGTCTCAAACGCCTTTTTGAAGTCCAAAAACACTGTTTGTGTATGTTTCCTATTGCCCATACATCTCCATAAGAAATAATATAACACACTTCTTACCAAAACATTGTATTTACAACTGATGTGTATACTATAGAGTATACAGGGTGTTCCGTACTTAAATGGACATAGTGAAATACACTACACTAACTAATTTTTATTGATTAAGATAAATAAAAATAAATCCACTTTACTAAAGTGAAGCAATAGCTGTGGTATCAATATTGTTCCTGATACAAAAGACGCGAGAAAACCTGCGAAGGACCACGTGACTGACCGCAAACTCGGATATGCTGGCAATAACATAATTGTCACATCGATTAGTGATTATTGTTATAAATGACGTCAGCGGAACGTCAACCGCAGAACTCTTTTGACGTAGATGATTAATTATTTAGGAGGTTAAAAGAACTTGAGGGTAAAGATATATTGAACTTGCGTTCGACGAACAAATGGCAGTGAAGGAAACGGGAATGTAATAACGGACTCATCGATTTGATTAACTGATTATAGGTAAGGAAACAAAGTCTCGTTAGGACTATAGCCAGTTTCAGAAAAATGGGTATTTTGTAGTACGGTCCTGACTGGCATTATATGACAAATTTGGAGGTAACGATCAATAGTCCATTACGCAAGTAAATCATGAATTATAAATGCCCGTCTCCTATTTCCGCTTCTTCCATTCGATACAAACACTATATTTTTTTAAGCAATAATGCGTCATGGTCAGTCCTTTATACTTATTTGTGTCTCAATAGGAAGTATTATAAGCTACCATCAGGATAAATTAAAAACATTAAATGACTATATAGAATCCTAACCCTTGACAAACCCCATCAGTGACACAGGAACTATTTGAAGTTTCTTCGTGGTTTCGGCACAGTTAGCACATAGTCTCTGCTAGACTCAAACGTCTCACGATTGGTTTGAACGATAACGTCTAAGAGCCATTTGTAAATGCAGGTTTCTTTCTTTTTGTCAAATCTTTTGCCTGCCACTGTCTTGATAAGTCATTCTACATTCTATGGACTTTTTTTGGTCTTTTCCTCGATGGGCTGCTTTATCTGTATTACGGTGACACTATAAAAATGGCTTTCGACCAATTTATTGGCCTTCTGTTCTAGTTCATTTGCCTTCTCGTTTACTTTGTTAGGCTGCTTATTTTATCAAGAATATTTGTTATATTTGTCTTATCACTAACTGGCAAGGAAGTAGTCGCAAACGTTTTAAAAAATGATATGTTACATGTCACAGATATCATGAACAACCACCTCTCTGTCAACCTGTCTGCTTGTCTATTTGCAAATTTTTGGTTCCTCTATTACTCGGGAAGATCTTTTCGCATTTTGATAAACTTCTGTTGCTGCTATGACATTGATATAGAAGCTTTATATGTTTTGAACATACATCTAGTTGCACCAAAATACAAATTCCTTGGTTTCTTGGCAATTCAGAGAATCCTGTTCATATTTGGACATTTTTTGAGGGGCAAACAATATGAGGTTGAGGTTGAAAGAGGTGGGGGAGAAATATCTTATTTTTTTGTGTCATTATATCTATACGCTTCTGATCCCGGTAATTTCACGCACATATTAGCCATTTTCCACACACAGATTTTCTATATCCGTCTCAAGCGTGAAAATAAAGGGTCAACCTGTCATAAACCGGCAGGATTCACTCATTGCAATAAACTATGATCGCAGCGTTGTCAAATCGTCGGTAAATCAGAGAAGAAATTTATAGACCACAATACCGTCAAATGGGTGTGGATTTGATCCATTTAATTCCCTTGTTATACATTTCCGTTGTCAACTTTCTTCTGAGAGCGGCTAACTTGTATTGTTGTTTATGTATTGGCAGCAGCGTTGCGTGAGAGCTACAGAGTCAACCCACTTAACACATTTTTTACTGCTAACATGACCATGGTTGTAATGTCCATTAAGAACAAAGGGGTAGATTCCTTGTGTTTGGTCATAGCAGATTTTCTGAATATTTTATGGTTTATCGCAATGTACGGTACAAAATATCTGGGCACGGCAATTATAATGATGATGATAGATTCCTTGATAAAATATTAAAAAGTAATTGCGGTATGGCAGAACAAATAGCAGCGTTTGAAAAACAGCATGAAAAAGGAATTAGTGTTCAAGTAGACCTAGGCCTGAAGGTAAATCAGGAAAGACGTTATAGAATCTAAACATCAATCACTCTGCAAAGGATATAACTTCGGGGTGTAATATATTGGGTTAATGAGTAAATCATGAGTTATTTGGTAACATAGAGATCCAACTATCATGGGCGCCCATTGTGAAATATTCTTAATAAGATACCCGATTCTTGGGTAAGAAGTGGCGTGTGTGAGAACATCCCAACGTAGAAGATATTAGATATTTGTTACCATTTTGAATGGTTGATTACACTTATGTGACTCGATTTTTGATATAGCAGAAAAGGTATGTATAAATTAGCGTAGTATGTACACGTTTATGAAAAGTAAATAGCTCAGTTTTTCCTCATAGCGGAGAAAATTTGAACAAGTTTGCTTCACAAAAACTAGTTTTCAGCTTTTTGCAAAGTCTAAAATTAATCTGATTAAGGATTAATGATTATAACTACTGAATTATAATCAAAGAATTCTTTAAAATTGACTAACTATAATCAAATCAAAAATTAATACGATTACTAATCATATTTTTCTTTGACGTCAATTTGACAACATTGATGGATTAATACAGTTAATCATTATGGTTATTGGTTAATGACTAACGCAAGTAATCATAAGATAACCTTTTCAGTTATGATTACTTTAATCATGATTAACATCGTCTGATTAAAGATGATGGAATTCATCAATTGATTAAAACATAATTTGAATAATTCCAACACTGGTTACTTTTTACCTATGTACAATGTGTGTTAACTAACGTCTATAACATTACATACATATTATAATATTTGAGGGAGCTGTAAATTTAGATATACAGAAGTTATTTCAAGAAAACCATAGGAGAAAATGGGATTTAAAAATGTTTTGCCTTCATTTTCAGTTTATCAAGGTGCTGTATGATTTTGTATCAAAAGCAACAACATCAAACATAGAGTTTCGTGTTTTAACACCAAACATTAAGGTGAAAATCAGGCGACACCTATAGTAAGCATATATATATAAAAACTTATGTCAACACCCTTTACACATATAATACATTATCAGATAAGACTCGATGAACTGCAGAAGCCAAAGTTTGAACACATAACTATTGAGTAAGTTGAACGCGAAACTACGTGTAGTAGAGATTTTAGAATACTGGAATTAGGTCTTTATTGTGCAGACGAAAAGTAATTATGCTGTTGGTTTGTCCTTACTTCCCATGTGAATTGGTGAGGAGGTACTGTAATCGCAAAAAATATAAAAATAGATTGTATCTTTTGAATGTTACATGACATGTACGTCACGAAAGATTCATCGCTCATGTCCGTCTGTCTGTCAGCTAATCGTTGGTACCTCTATAACTTGGAAAGTGCAGCTTGGATCCCGACTAACACCTTTGGTAAGCTAACCACCATGACGAAATGCTGCAACCGTTACAGTGGTGGGGTGAGTGGCAAACGATTCAGGGGTTTTAGTGAGTATGCCGCATTTCTGGCGAATCTCACACTTCGGACAGGAAAAGATAACATGACAATAATGTCGAGCTGTTCTGAGTGAGAGAGGCTAAAAGGCTTTTCCCTATCAAAAAAAGTCGGATGACATTTTTACAAAACGTTACCATTATACCAAAAACCTCCCCAGTGGTGGAGGAGTTACGGCCAAAAAACGAAAACAAAGTTGCTCAAACTTAATTTTCCGATTATTGTGGGAACGAAAATTGGAGGTAGGGAGTACTGACGACAGCGTTGTGTCGGAAGCATAGAGTCAATCTTGATGTCATTTTTTAAATACAGAAGTAGTCGTTAAGGTAGAAGATATCTTTGTTAATACGTTGTTATTAGAAACAACAGAGCTGTCCCACTGGCTAGTTTTCATGCTCGACCGATCAATGAACTTCCTAACTTTCATAGATCTGGGGGAAGTCCTATAGCAAATAAGAACTACAATACCGATAGTCTAAGAACGAAGAAACGGTTTTACCAATCGATATTCTAGGTTTAGAACCAGACTGCACTGTTATGTGAAAAGCAATATTTTCTAATGGTGTTCATCGAGTCTCCATCAGCCGTAAACACACGTAGCTAGCTACCAAACAGAAAATAATAGGAATTATATTCCACTTACCGACTCCGGGATAGGCGGGCTGCATTCCAGGTGGGTAGGCAGGATGCTGGATGGCTGCCTCTCCGTTCGGGAGTCCAGCTGCTTGCGCCGGGATAGAAAGGTGCAGAGCATCTGAAATATAGGCTCAGTTAGATATACGTTAGTATAATACACTTAGCTTTCTCCATGTTAAGGAAATTTCGTACATGTGGCAACCACGCAATGCCTCAGAGAGCTAGACGTTTTTTACAGGATCAAAACATCTGGAATGTGGCCATAGTTGAACTTATTTTACAATAACGAGCAAAAATAATTCTTTCTTCACGAATTTAAGAAATTTTGAATAATTGACAACAGCACAACGCAGTGGGAAATTTAGGTTCTCACCATACTAGGAAAAATTGGAGCAAGTGGTAACCGCGCAGTGTAGCAGATAATTTGAGTGCTGTATGGCGAATGTCACATGATCAGTATTGATTGCGATGCATCGCTATTTATCATGGAATGTGATAATTATTGACCGTGTAGCCAAGACGTCAGTAATTATTATTGATGTATGAGGTAACATAAAAATTCTGTGACAGTCAGAATGCTCAGTAAATACTGGTACGGCACCCGTGTTATGTAAAATAATTGTTATGATATCGATCGGTATTACGTATCTTGAAAAGTGACATTATGCTGATTTTTTTGGCATTGTATTGGTTTTTTGTGACATTCTGTAGGTTTTTCTATAAGATGTTAACTTAGGACTTAGTTGTACATGTTGCCTAAACGACATGAGGCTTCAGTTATCAATGTTTGGCTTCAGAAATGGCACTATTGGAGGTCTAAGCTGTAAGTTGGATTCTTATCTCAAATACACTTAATCGAGATTCAAAGCTAGAAATTAGATGCGCATCTACTTTTTCTTATCCATTCTGGAAATAACATATGCTAATTAGATGAATTTAAAAATCGGAGAGATACGAAATAACTATATTTACTGTACAGTGTTGAATTACGTATACAAGTCATATACCTTCATGCTAACAGTAATTACACCCAACGCGATCGCGGTGATGATTTCCCGTAATTCTCGTCAAAGTGAACATAACCTGTCTTCATAAAGGACAACATATTTATAAATAACCTGTCGGGCACAGCTAATAGATATATTCCATTGGCAGCATATTCAGTAATGATTCTCTCACACACCAAGTTTAGTTGAGGGATTCCTCCATAGATGGATCTTCATAACGATCCTAGTGAGCAAACGTGGAATCCCTATTTGCGCCCTAAGAACTGCAAGACGACATCTACGTTATTTATGAAATTGTATAGTTTTTTTAAAAAATACCCGGGCTCGTGTACTCGTTTTGAACGCCAACTATAAGGGAATGGCACAATTACTTATAGCGTAGAGCTTTCAGCATGCCACTCTGCCATCTCTGAAGCAGACGTTATACTACATCAGAGATAAAGCACATAAACTAAGTGTTTTTGACGTTTAGGCAACACTCACAGCTACTACAAGTAAACATGAAGTGAATGATAGCTAGTTTCAAAATGGCAATTCTGCCGATCGCTATCCCAGTTTTACGTTACGTAATAAGGGTACGGCAGGGATCCCTATTTGCGCCCTAAGAACTGCAAGACGACATCTACGTTATTTATGAAATTGTATAGTTTTTTTAAAAAATACCCGGGCTCGTGTACTCGTTTTGAACGCCAACTATAAGGGAATGGCACAATTACTTATAGCGTAGAGCTTTCAGCATGCCACTCTGCCATCTCTGAAGCAGACGTTATACTACATCAGAGATAAAGCACATAAACTAAGTGTTTTTGACGTTTAGGCAACACTCACAGCTACTACAAGTAAACATGAAGTGAATGATAGCTAGTTTCAAAATGGCAATTCTGCCGATCGCTATCCCAGTTTTACGTTACGTAATAAGGGTACGGCAGGGTTATTGCGAAAAAAAACTATATGGCAAAAACAATCGGTAAAATGTGAACTTGTGTACTAGGTAGCCACTAGTGTACCGCCAGTTCATTCGCGCCTACTACAAGTGTGCATGAAGTGAATGTCACCTTATTATTTCAAAGGCGATGTTTTATAGAAAAAAAATGTCGAAAAACCTGCATAATGTCATAAAGAAATTATATAGTGTCACTTATAAGTCACGTAATACGGGTGCCGACTACAGTAAATACTAATCGTGTACCGTCGGTATTTTTTAGATTACTTTTCGCCCTCCGCTTATTGACTTTGGAAGTAAAATGCAGTTATCATTGGAGTAGCCGAGCCTACACAAACAAACGCAGACTCGTAATTAAACTTTATGAGAGCAACTTCTTTCGACAGCTGTCACAACAACTAACGAGTGCCTTTCCCTTGATGAGGGTCCGAACCGCCGTTCCTCCTACTAAGAAATTGATGAGTTGGAATCAGAAGAGGAGGTATACTACGAAATATGTTGGTTGATAGTGTGCGAATTCTATTTTAATAATGCCGAAGAATATTACTCACTATACTCGCTGAGTGCGCGATGATAGCGCCATTTAGCGGATATCGGACACATAATAACCGGAAATGTAGATGATAGACGTTTAGTCGACTCGAGGCTAGGAACAATTTGAATCTTCAGCTGAAATTTTATTTTGATCTGACGAAATATTTTGCACCTTATTTCTACATGACATGATGATTTCACTATAGAGACTACGCCTACATTCCTCCATCTGTCAGATGATGTTCCCATTTTTGTTTCCCGTGTGCGCGGGGATTCGTTTTCCCTTACTACTCAAGATGACACATAAGCTGCTTACACTCGCATCAGGTATTTTACAAAAAATGTATTCCGACGGAATATCAATATTTTGACACAAAAAACTATACTCTGTGTGATTTCACTATTTTCTATAGGCGATAAGTAGCAACTTGTTCCCAAAACTTTCGATATGGAATTTGGCACCAATGTTGTGACGTAACAAAGTTCTTGTGTGAAATTATTGTAAGTTCTAACACCTGTGCTTCGAATGTGACCTATTTCTGCCATGGAGGATAAGCTCCCGAAAAAGTAAACCTTTATGGACCTATGCACCATTGTCACAATCGCTTCGGAATATATCGAAAATTTCCTATGCACTCACTTAAAAAGGCGCCTACGCTGTACTTAAGTATTGCAAATCGTAAACTTAAAATACTAAGATGTTTTTTGTTGACATACAAAAGAAATTAGAAGGGTTATGCCAAAAATATTATTGAGAGAAAAATTTATAAATGGAAATATTATTTAGGAAACGTAGATGATAGATTCAGATCTAGAGACAACCACCGTGGATGTTTTAGATACAAAAATGTATCCCTGGAAGATATATAAATAGATGATGATCAACTGATTTTGAGAATGATCTGTAAGTTTTTGATGAGAAAGAAGAGATTCAACAAAATATACAAATTATCTCACAGTGTAGAATTGTAGTATTAAACTTATTTCACCGAGTTCTTCATTTAACATGCAACTCAAAATGCCCTGATTGACTGATAACGCAGACAAAAAATATATCCATCTCCTATTTGGCCTAACTAACAACGGGAGGAACTTCTTCCATTATTATTTTATGAAAATGATCCCATTGTCCGGTTTCAACTCGTAACACTTGAAGGTAATGATAAATCTTCAACTGTACTCTGATTTATTCTACGATCCTCTGGAAAGCTTGTTTGAATTTTGCTGACCAATTTGTCTTAACTGATTCTGAAAAAAAACAGTCAAAATACATAAACAAAACTCAAAATTCCTGCAATAAATGCAGCGTTGTCTGACTGAAAATATTATTAGTTAGAAAAATGCGATACGACATCACTGCGTAGGAATGAGGTGCTAATGAGTACAAAACAGCGTTGTCTGCGGTTGGGCGTGGTTACAGACAAGGATAGCAATCATGTCCACTCCAGTACTATTCTTAACATGAGGTCAAACTTAGCAAACTTGAGCAGGCATTATTCTCTGACGTTGTATGCATGGTTATGTTTGAACGGTATCTAGAATAAAATGAACTCTTACTGGCTGTTCATTTCAGCGCACGAGCGGAAAAACGAGAACATGCATCTTCTTTGAAAAATCGACGCAACTTTCAGTAAGAGCTATTAATTTGGTATAGGTAAAATATAACCCGTCCTCAAGCCCAGATTGTCAATCGCTGGTTCACTTCTACGCTAACTGTAACTACTAGTTGTCGGTAGATTCGTATTTTAAGTTCTCGTTAATCAATCCGTAACTTCTGTATCTGGCAATACTGATTCTACGTCTAAATCAACGTGCTCTGTGAGTTTTGTGATGCTCGGCGTTTGTATCTCTTGTCATCTACGATCACTCATGTCACTGTTAAGCAAAAAAGGCATTGCTGTATATCTATAAATTACTATTAAACCCGTAGATGATCTTGCGGTTAAAGTCAACTAAGTTAGTGTTAGGACAAAGATGACGCATTCTGAGACTTAACTTCTGGGTAGCAGTAAATCATAGTTAAGCTGCAATTGAAAAACTGGTCCTTAGTGATTCTAGGCAAAAGTTGTTAACTATGATCTGGCTCAACTTTTTATTCCTCATTCATCCAGTCTTTGGCCTTGTTGTCATGTTGTCGATCATTGTGACAAATAACCTCAAACATGCCACTGTCGCCATGTTGCTGCTTGGGCTCAAAAAAAGATGCCTCGGAAGGGCAAAAAGATTTTCAGAAATCGGAAGAGAAATATATTGTAGACGGAGCAGGAAATTATCAAGGCAATAACTTGAGACACTGGGAAGCATGGCTGGAGAAAAGAAAACAGATACACAGTGTTCTTGGGAAGAAGCTGAACAAAGAGCCTGGAGAGCTTCTGATGAACTTGGGAGAAGAATGCCACAAAATAAAAGAAGAAAGGGAGCTGATTGAGTATGCAAATATCAATACCTATTATGACAAGTATAGAGGCAATCCTGAGTTCTGGAAGTTACCATTTGGCATCAAAGAGAGATGCCCTCCGTCTCGAGATCCTATTATGTTCAGCAAGAAAAAGAAACAAGACATGAACCAGATACCAGACATAGAATATTTTGGCACTCCAGACCCGATCTTGGAAGAAAAAAGTTTACTGCCCCGATCAAGGACACTTTACAAGCGTTGGAAGAATTCAAACTACAGGAAGAAAACATTTTACATATTATGGGAAACAATTCAAGCTATACAGCCACATAATCCAGATATTAATAACCTGGTCATCCTTGGCCAGGCTGTTAAATGTGTCCAGGAAAAAAAGCAAATATGTTCACAACATTCACCTACGTCTTTTGCTGCTGTATCTGCTTCCACAGTTTCTCTAGAAGAACAACATTCGGAACCTGCATCTGCCGAGCCTAATTCAGTCACAAGCAATACTTTCAAAATAAATGGAAAAAGTATATCCACCGAGAATAACTTGGTAGATGGTTGTCTTAGAATACGTTTATTCTTCAGCACAATTATACATTCTGAAGATAAAAAAACTGACTATGTCATCTTCGACAATAAAGGTCAAAACACTATCAGATTCTACTGGTCCAAAGTTGAGAAATTCCGCACTTTCCGTGATATTCTTCCAAATAGGCAGGAAGACTGTTTCTTCTTTAATAAAAATGAGTTAGTGCTCATTCCAAATAAAACCATAAAGCTACCAGTGGTATTTTTCACAAAAAATCCAGGAACATATAACGAACTTTGGGAAATAATTACTAGTCCGAAGATATGGGGAGATGACTTCCAGTTACTGCTTCAACTACAAGGCATTGCTCAAAAGAAAGATACTGGTAAGGAAGTAAACAGAATTAAAAATGAACTGGCGACATTCGCAAGAAACACAGCAATAAAAGAATTATTGGATAGCATTTTTGTTGACTGCAGTTACTCGGATATGCCACCAAAACTACTGAAATTTAGTGAGAAAGACATGTTTGAAAGCGCCAATATAGAACTGATCGGAGTGGAGAAAAGATCGAAGTATGCATACGACCAGCAACTTGTGGGGGAACTAAAACAATTTTTTGAGTCTGTTAGGCAAGATGGCGATGAAATTACTTGGAATTTATCCATTAAGGTGTTGGAGGGAATGGCTATGAGAAAAGATATAGTCAGCTATGTAGAAAATCAAACTAAGCAATATGTAAAAGCTAGAGAAAGAAGAATACATCTGAAAAGAAAATACAGTGAAACTAAGTATGATGAAATAGAAATGCCAGCACAGCAACCTACTGAGGAACCTACAAAGCCTGAAAAATCACATTTCAAGAAACTTAAAGCAATTCTCCGTCAACTGGAACAGCCATCTGTAAAGAAGAATAAAGAACGAGAAAAACATACAGCAGCATTTTTTGTAATGAGGACTTATATAGCGAAGATAAGCGAAGCCTTGTATAATTTGGACAAGACCAGTAAACCTCCAAACTTCGACTATCATCCTTGCTACAATTATCGAAAAGTTGCAACCATCAACGATTTACCAGATAGAATGATCTATGAACGTTTTGATGATGTCTGGGTTGAAAGAATGAAAAGAACAGTTATAGACGAATGTCCAGGATTTCTTGCAACAGAAAAACCAGAGAAGATAAAGAATATTTCTCCAGAGAACACCAAGCTTTTGTACAGTGCATACTTCAACCATCCTTTACCGGCTGACGGCAAAGGGAAGGGGAAAAGAAAAGGTCTAGGCAAGGAAGAAGTAGCTGCCCCAAAAGCACCAAAAGAGAAGGGCAAGGGTAAAGGAGATAAATCGAAGACAACTGGTAGGATTTCTTCTCAGCTGAAGATAACTACGGCAGTTAAAGAAGACTTCAATCCTTTCAAGGAGAAGTTCTGTTTCAATTATGAAGGAAGTGCTTCAGAACCAGACAGTATCGTCTCTCTTGAACAACATACAGAATATGCACTAAAAGTGCCGGAAGAGTACAACTATGACAAATATGTTGCAGTGTATAGCTTACTAAGTGAAGCTATAGATACCATGATGTGTGCTGTAGATTCTTTTCATGAGAACTCTGTAGATGAAGTAGTTCAACATGAGCTACAAGATTGTAACATCGTCAGTATACCACAAACGTTAGCAGATAGTACTAGAAAATCCACTAAAGAAACTGAAGGCGAAGGTAATGAGGTAGATGACGATGCAGATGCGTATTATAATTTCCTATTAAGAGCCAATTTGACTGATAACAAAAACACCGAAGATTATATGATCAAAAGCAAAGTAAAACATGAAATTGAAGAAGAGCCACCAGCTGAACCTCAAGAACCATCGAATCTTTTCAAACAGTACACGCGCAACAGAGAAGCAATCTTAGAGCATCACGATACCTACGAAGATAAAGAAATGCAAACTAGTGTAATTGACCTTTCTAAGCTCAAACAGATTTCGAATCCGTATTTGAACCACACTAGAAGAGTGTCTATTGTTTCTGATAAGGTGTCAGAATATGCAGAGGAAGAAGAGGTTTCAGACGAGTTCTATATTCTAAGCAATGACGCCTTCAGGGAAAGGCAAGACGGTGAAGCAGTAGAAGATTGCGTAGAAGAAACCGTAGAGTTTAAAGAGCATGGTTATGAAAAAGAGGCAGAAGATCATGGAGGCAATGGAAACTATGGAGGTGCAGGAGATCGTGATAGTGAAATATATGATGAAAAGTATGAGTTGTAAATATATAAGTCTGCACTGAATAAAATATTTTATAATGTTATACTGAATTTACAAATCAAATATGATCAGGATTTAACTCATATCCACATATCTGAGAAGTCGTCCCCGAGAGCCCGCACGGGATAATTTGATATACCCACTGACTTAAAATTATTTCCACAATATGAAGAAATAGAAAGTTATTAACGTTGTAACAAACTACAAAATAAAAAACAGTATCTCGTTTCTCTTGCGATAAAACCTATTGATGAGGTCCCACAAGCAGGCAGAGTCAGTTGAAGAAACATGGTGGAATTGATGAAAATTCTACATTTAAGCAAATTTTGCCTTTCAATTGCCTTCTAATCTTCTGATCTGTTGCTATTGTGGTACAATATCGTATTTCCAGCTTGACTCAGCTTACTTACGGGATACAGATGCCAATAAATGACATTTTATCACATGATAATATGATATACAGGACCCCTCAAAAAGTTCCCAGACCCATTCTTAATAACTAGAAGAAGCGTTCATACGGTTAATCTGATAGCTCCATTCAAATATTGAATTGATATGAAATCTAGCTTCTTCTACTATTCAATAATTGACTGAATTACCTAGAAAGACGGGTGTGTATCTCTGCGGTGCTGGGTCACATTCTGGAGGAGAGGCCAGCCTCAATTGGGTCTCATCTGAAAGGAAAATGAGGAGGTGAAATCTCCTTCTTACTGCAAAAGCTAGCAAGAATCTAAGAACTTTTTGAAGGTAGTACTGTTGTGGTAAGGTTTGTATGCAGATAGATCTGACAGATAGATGTTGAGAGCTTCTCTGTGGTACCTCCTCATCCATCAAAGTTCGAAATCTTTAAACTGGACCATCTCAATTATATGTAGGTATGTGATGTTGGAGCGATTATAGCTAAAGCAGTGCTTCACCACTCGCCAAAATGGTTTCTTTAACATCAACAATGATGAAGTACCACTAGAATAATGCCTGCAAGTCTAGATGTACTTGACACTTTCTAAGAACGTTCAAAGTTATAAAAGCTTCATAATTTGTGTCCATCAACAAATGGCTCATGAGATTCCGGACTGAAAACGATTGAAGTGAGGGAGTTGTAACATAAACATAATTTTTGATTTGTGCTTATTAAAACGTTAATTTTTTAAATGATGTGATTAATTGTATAGTTATTCACGTCATTCTGATATCTGATTTCGATCACGCTGGTGCTTAAATAGATGCATTCTAATGTAATATGGAATAAAAATTTTGTTCAATTGAATTCCCAGACGACTTAGCAGGCACCAACTTAGTTGTTCTGTTAATTAAGATATTCGAGGTCTCTTGAGGGTATTGAACCAAGATGTTGGTGTCTGGTCACTTTGTGAGGGTGGGATATGCCCCAGTGCTCTACCCCTTGAACAGTTCCATGCTTTTACTAACCTACAAGCTTATTATTACCTGCCCTGAAGTACTCTCGCGCCTGATAGGTCTGAGGGGGCGGTATCCCATTGGTGTAAACTCCTGGGGGCGGCTCCTGCCCTCCAGGCTGCCCGTTCGGGGTCTGGGCGGCCATGTTGAATGTGGGCATCGTCGGGGAAGGAAGGCTTGGGATTGCGCCGTTCACCGGCGGTTGTCCAGAGCCAGCTCCTACAGGAACCTCTGCATGGCCAAATTGCAATTTGAGTTTAGAAAACGCATTGCGGCCAAGCGATAGAACACTCATGGTATAGTCAGGCGGGAAATAAAATGTTATATTTTGATCGCATCTAATATGATTGGAATTATATGATTATCGGATACGAAATGATCCCATCGGTTAAATTAATCAGTATTTTCCAAATCCCATCATATGTTAGAGAATGACAATGGTATGTACGCGTAACCTGGCGCATTCGGGCAAAGTGACAAGTATGACTGGACATTGATTCAAAGTTCATCTGCTATATATCTCATCTCAAATTTGAAAGTCCAAAGTCCTGAAAATAGAAAATGTGAATTGGATGGTAACCTTGTAGGGCGATGAAGAAGTACTTAACTTCTGATGTGGATCTTTCAAGCTAAATCTACCTTACATATAAGCAAATTTGATATATTTTAGGAGTTTAATGATGAAAATTGTTGCATGCATCATATCGCTAGCCACAACAAAATACAGTATAATAATTTTGGGCCAACGCTGAGGTGTATTTGTCACTCTATCTGAATGCGTAAAATGATCCTATGACTCACAGAATTTGTTTTGTGAAAAAATACTGGTCATTTGTGATGCACAGGACTGCGGAGGTGAGGTATACAACTGAAACAGTGTTCGAGAAATCAAAGGAGTATCTGGTTTTGACGAATAACCAATTACTAAAAGCATATTATACAGACTGTGGAAGTGCTGAAACAATGCTATAATGATTGGAAGATATTGAATGCACGATACTCCCCAATTGAACCCGAGCCTCATTCCCATTGGAGTCAAGAGTTTCCACCAATGAGTCAAATCAAATCTTACGACATAACTCAACATTTAAAAACATTCTAAGTTATTTCAATTAATTGAAAACTATGGGTACAAGCACTTTCTTGTCCGTACAGCAATCTAGGCTTCGCCTTTCTTCGTTTGGGATAAGTAGCTAAATAACATGATTTGTATTAAAAAAAAACGATTTACTTTTTCACAAAATTCATAGAGCTTGAATTTCTAGACAGTCCGGTTGAGTAATGGCACCAAATAAAGCATCTCTAATTTTGTTCTTAGAGTTTTTTGGAGATACATGTGTATAAGAGTACTGCCGCATATGTATTCATATAGCGAGAATGTATGAGTAGCAACTGTAACAGATAAAACAAGAGACCACGTGAATATTACCGTATTTATTCAACATAGCTTTCCAATAAATTTCACATTAGCACAAGTGACATTTAGCTACTAACATCAACATGTCATTCTACACATTCATTTAAACATTCAATGTACGTACCTACATTTCCTACATTTTCCAACTTCATTATTTTTATAATGGTGCCTTTAAAGCCTAAGGAGAACAAAAATAATGCTGTGGAATACTGAATTATCTCAAAAGCAAATACACACATAACTTTAAATATTATTTCAGAAGAGAATGTTATATAAGGAAATGTAGAAACTCGAAAAGAGAACATGTGCCGGCTGGTTTGCTTTTATAAATTCACGTGAATGTATTTGGGATATAGCTGAGGTAGAATGTTTTTTTGATAATCGTGGCCTCTGCATCAATATTAGTCAAAGAATTTCTGAAGGAAAACTGTGAATCCATCTTGTAATTTTAAGCGACTGTCTATCACGCACGTTTTAATAACGTGTTAGTCCATTTGTTTGGATATTCTACTATGAGTCAGTGTTATTGCATTTAACGTTTTACTGCTTGGAAAAGCCTATGAAATTCTTTGACTAACCACAACAGAACTATTTTTTGGAGAAGTAAGACGATTGTAAGATGATCTTCATACCTGTCGTTGGTGGTAGCCCCGAATTGGCCATTCCATTCATAGTTGCATGATGGGTCGCTATCGCAGCCATTGGATTGATGTACGTCCCTTGCGCTGTGGCTGCCATGAGCGCTGCCTGTTGCTGGAAGCAGAATTATATTACATAATCAATCTATCCTAATGTTGATCTGTATGGAAGGTAATACAACGGAAAACGTTGATGGCTCCAAATGCATGAAACTCTTGAGTCTTAAATTGGATAACGGTAATATTATTACTCGAGTAACAAATTTAAGTATCCGTGTCACTGTACAGTAATTGTAGCAAGTCACTTTGAGTACTTTTCGAGGCATGCGCTTTCCCAAAAGCACATTTTTTATAGTAGTCAAGTGACCTTTTTTGCAATCAGGCTGAATGTTTCACGGAGCCTCTAGTTTCGACACCCTTGCTAGCAACGCACTTGCAAAAAAATCATTGAATCAGAGTCATTATACAGTAATTCTGGAGAAACGATTTTCACATTTTTTAGAATTGCATTTTTGCACAAGCAGGTCTGTCGGACATTTCTTTATGGAAATACTTTCATATCCTTTATACACACAGACTGAATACTTTAAGGAGCCTCATTAACAATGATCATTCAAGTAGACATCGTAAAAACAAAGATCATCGATAAGAGGTATCGATGCAAATAGCTGTACAGAGTACGGCATTTGTTTACTAAGGAGACTCATGGGACCTTTGACTTAATGCCGTAACCAAGCCATATTCTATGAATGATAAATCCATAACTTTAGTGCCCTGCGGATAAAAAACTATTTTATGTATGTATCTTGAAGTTATAGGATATTATTTTTGATCGAGATGTGAAGAATTCCATCCTCTAGGGTCCAGTCTATTCGAGGCTATGATCCGCTTGGCGATACGTCCGTAGGATTTCAAAGGGAAAATCTGGCATTGGGGTTTACCTGCGCGTAAGCTCCGTAAGCTCCGAATTGGTTGAACACGAAAGGGTTGAGAAGACTCATGTTTCCAGCCATCTGCTGCATGCGTCTCAGTTGGCGTTCCTTTTCTGTGTCTGCAAATTTCACTACTAGGCTGGAAGAAGCTCCCTGAAAAAGAAAGAGAAGGGCTTTAGCATACGATATGCATATTTCTGTATGAAACCGATTATAGGATAAGCAAAAGAGCATAGACAAACGTCTAAGTAGAGATGATATCAAAGAAAATATGTAACCACTGAAAATTATTTGCACATATCTTATTTTATACTCAAGTACTCATTATGCGCCACTGCTAGCGCGGCTTTCTTTTGAATCGGCAAGGCCAGTGCACGTGGATCCCGCCATATCCAAAGGTACGTCCCATTAGCCGTGATATACAATGTAATTCGTTATAGTCAAGCGGCATCGCACAGCAACCCTCTGTTGCGTGAGTCAGTAGACTACACAGTCGAGCAACTTCGCAAGCACAATTCTTCTCTCGGCTGTTTTGGTATACAGGGTGGCCCATCCATGCGTGGACGGAATATTACTCATAAACAAATACATTTTGGGAAAATCTATTTATGGTATGTTATACATGACATTTGAGGGCCCGTAAAATATTGGCCATTATGCACGGTGTCCCAATTTCGACCTCCATGTCAAAGCTGTGATTTTTTCAAACAGAATGCCTCAAATTTTATGGCATATTTGGATAAAATAACTCAAAAGAAGACAACTGATATAACACACTATGGGGTTTTGGTAATTAGCTACTGAGATATAAGGTGTTTTGTCTAGAAAACCCCCCACTTCGGCAACCCCTCAGTCCGCCATTTTGAAATTTCGAGTGCTAAATTTTGTATAAAAAAACTTACACACCTCAGCTTTCATCTTATATGTTAACTTTTCGAATTTTATTTTTTCCTCATACAGTGTGGTCAAAAACGCAAATTGTAGCTTTTCTCAAAAATGTCAAATGCATCACCCTGTATATTTGTGCAAGTTTGAATTCAATTTTTTATAAGATTTTTTTGATACGAGATACATAAGGGTTTTTACTGCAATTTTTTTGGTTATTAGCACGTCTTTTATGGAACGGCTTAATTCCCTAAAATATCGCATCATCCTTGGAAACAAATAAATTGTTGATTAGTTACAAACTGTCAAAATTAGCTTTGTGAGCATTATAATAAAAACGTGTTTGAAAATGATTTTTTCTAAAGAAGAAATGGTCAATATGTTGTTCGTTTTGGGCGGTACCCTAATATGCGACATCCAAGGCCGGAATTATTTTCCGCACTACGAGAACGTTTTGAATCAAGTGGAGCAGTGGAATATAGTAAAAAATGTATAAATAATCCATGTGTCACCAATGAGGCGAATCAGTTGGAGGTTCTATTAAAGTTGCAGGAAAATCCTGCACCAAGGCCTTCGTCCTCAGGATTTCGAAGCTCGAATGGAGGTTTAGTAGAATAATGCTAAATAAAGTGAGTGAAGATACTACTTTCCTGGATAAGGTTCTTTTTAGCGATGAGGCAACTTTTAACAGCATAGGTCTTGTCAACAGGCATAACATGCACTATTATGCGACGGAAAACCCTTACTGGGTTAGGCAAATAGATTTCCAAAATAAATGGAGCTTGAATGTTTGGGGAGGCGTTATTGGCAGACAAGTTATCGGGCCTTTCTTTTTCGACAACAGATTAACAGGTACGGAATACTTGAATTTTTTGGTCGAGCATTTGGCTTTGCTATTGGAGGATGTCAACCTGCAAACTCGGATGCATCTGTACTTCCAACATGACGGCGCATCTGCGCATTATCATAATCATGTGCGTAACTATTTGGACACCTGGAATAACAATCGTTGGATCGATCGTGATGGGCCTATATCTTAGACTCCTAGATCACCAGATATGACACCGATGGACTCCTTTCTATGGGGCTACATTAAGCTAGAGGTTTATAGATATCCATCATCTACCCCGGAAAATATGAACGAAAGGATTAAGGATGCTTTTCTGAACATAAGGGAACACATGCTGAGGGATGTGCAACGGTCATTTATCCAAAGACTACGGCTGTGTATTCAACATGGTGGACATATTTTCGACCAGGTTTAGGTCTTGAGTAGTGATAGTTGTTTGTTTATGTTGTTGTTATAGTTGTTTTTCTCTATTACGCTTGAAGCTGATTTATAGTGTCTGATTGTTATTTTTACGTCAAATCTGTACTCTTAGTGGCAATATGGAACTAGCCCACTGTTTGTCTTTTGTTTCCATGAATGATGTGATTTTTTTCCTTAATTTTGGTGGATTGTTCTATTAAAAGCTTAATAACTCAAAATCTAGCGATTTTATCTAAATCTAACCTTATAATAAAAAAAGCTTATAAAAAATTGAGTCCAAACTTGCACAAATATACAGGGTGATGCATTTTAAATTTTTGAGAAAAAGTACAATTTGCGTTTTTGACCACACTGTATAAGCAAAAATGAAAATTCGAAACAGTAACAAATAAGATAAAAAATGAGGTATGTAAGTTTTTTTGATACACAATTCAGCACTCCAAATTTCAAAATGGCGGATTGAGGGGTTGCCGAAGTGGACGGTTTTTTTGGGCAAAACATCTCAGTAGCTAATTACCAAAATACCATAGTATGTTATATCAATCTTCTTCATTTGAATTTGTTAATCCAAATAAGCAATAAAATTTGAGACATTCCATTTAAAAAATCACAACTTTGACATGTAGGTCAAAATTGGGACACCCTGTATAATTGACAATATTTTAGAAATGTGCCATCAAATGCTATGTATAGCATGCCATGAATAGATTTTCACAAAATGTACTTGTTTATGAGTAATATATCGTCCACACATAGATGATCCACTCTGTAGTTGTAGTCATCAACGCCATATGAAATAAGTCAACAGATTGAGTCTCCGTACCATGGGCGGAACACTGCGCTGATCAATCTTCAGCGCATCTGCTACTCTCTCCAGTACGCATGTAGTGGGTAACAGGGGACCGCTGTTTTCAGTCTCTTCCTAGAAATACTCTAATAAATTTAACACGAGCTGTCGCCCTTCTCTACTGATCGTATTTTCGGGCATTGTACAATTTTATATTGAAGATTGATAACAGGACAACTCGAATTGCACGCCGATGTCAAGTAAGTTGTCAATCTGACAGGACAATTAAACGTATGTCTATGAGCTTACCGAACAAACGTTCACACACAGGGGTAGGCGGCATGTGTACGTATCCTTGTGAGACTCAACCAACGGTCATTTGTGATTATTTTATTCGTCTAGTCAAAAACTTGAAAAACTTTGTTAAGTAGCAACTATTGAAGTAAGTGCTATAATCTCTGGTATACGCTGTTAAGAACATAAGGCCAGTCCGTGCAAGTTTGCTTCATGTCATGTGCAAAGGCAAAGGTTAGTTCCTTTGTCAGATAATTGCCAATTTACAGAAACTCGGAATATTAGTCAAATTCTTTCTACTGGTGCCCTTTTGCAACTTCTATGTCTAAAGGGGGCTATGCAACACTTTTTTTTGCAAACTAACCTCAATAGTTTGTTGTTTTAAGAGATAACATTTTATTTTCGTTCAATATAGCTATACCAAAAATGACACACAGTTTTGAACCATTTTTGACTAAAAACTGAGTTTTTAGACCTAGGTCATTTCATCAACATACTATGAACTATTGATCTAGTAGGTACCTTATATTATGTTTATTAAATTCCACCGCTTTAGTGCGGGGCCTTCTGTCTCCTAAGTTTAATTCTTATCTCATTACTGTTATTATTTTCACCCCGTCTGATGGAACCTAACGGACATGGAAAATTATTTCTAGAATATTCATGGCCCACCTTCGGGAGTCTGGGTTATTAAAAGATGGTTAACCGCATTATACTAAACTTTACCTCCATAATTCTTCTAAAAAATTAAAGAGGCCTACAGCTTTTTATAGTCCAGACATTTTGGTGCGAAATATTCAGTTGATCGGTACAAATGGAAAATAGTCCAAACTACGTGAATGTCAATCTTTTTGGAGTCTATATTAATTTGTGATACTATTTTTCAAGAAAAAATTCTGTTTTAATAGTATTTGTATTTCGACCTTTTGTGGAAAGTAGAGAGAGACAGAAATTGAATCTTTTATTTATAAAAGCAAATAAGCACGGAAAAATTCAATTGACGGCCTAGTATAAAATTTTCAAAATTTCGAAAAACATTGTTCACAGATTGAGACTCGAAGAGCCTCCTTATCCATCTCGATTCATAGATGTCTACATCCTCAAAATTTCAGAATTCAAATCCTCACGCAGTATCCGGACTATGAGCCACTGCTGTCCGTAATACGCATTAAAAATTGATCAATATTCTCCCTAAAGAATACGACAAATATTTACCAGACGGCTTCCCCGGATTTTTTTGCTTGCCGAAGAGTGAGTGGTAATAAAAAAGGCAAATTTTATTCAGAGGATTACTTTATCCTTTATACATTAAACGTAACCTTACTATTCTCTCAACTCAGACAAATTCATACATATTTATGATGATGAGCTCTTCTTAAATCGGGTCCTAGCAAGAACAAAGAAAAAAGTCTGCTCGTCTGAGCAATAAAATTTTTACGGACTCCGTTGACCCAGTAATGCAAGATGGAACTATTACCTTAGTCTAACTTCCACAATAAACCTACGGTATAGAGTTCTCTAGAGTTTATCGTAGCCATGCATCAATCAAGTGAGCAATTTTCCATCCCACGCACGAGCGAGGGAAGTATGCAATGCGAGCATGTGGGAGGATAAAATAGATAACACTGCTATACAGGGTGTTTGATAAATATGGAGAACATTTAAGAGGTGATTTATTGTATTGTACCAAACTATTTTTGACGATTATCAAAAAAAAAACTGGTTAGAAGCAGGGCGAATACGTTCTGGGATTAGAGTCGTTTCTTTATCAAGGGAAATTAGGAAATGAGGTTATGGTTAGGTCAACGAGGGCTTAATTGTTAATTCGAATTATAGAAGATCTTAGTAACAGAATCTACATTAATAAAAAATAGCTGATGTATTTGAAATAGCGTGACAATTTATGGGGAGAGTAATGGAGTTT